CATTCCTTTGACGTGGGTCCAAACAACTCCCTGATCTTTCCCACCACCAACACAGACACACATCCATGTGAACAGTAGTGATGAAACCTTTGCAAAAACAAATTGTACCAAAACTTCTTAAAGCGAAGATCTCCAACGTGTTTTATTAGAGTGAAACTTTATTCGTATGGCACTGTCTCGTGCTTTTCTTTTTTCACTTCTCAGTCCTCGTTCTGTCTGAGTCTTATCTCTGTCCCACTTCCTGCTCTGTGCTCTCAAAATATCATTTAGTTTTGGCGTCTGAAGATGTGAATCCGTGAGAAGCGTCTGGCAGAAGAAACCGTTCCCAAAACAAATTCCAGAATCATAAATCCAAAAAACCAAGAGCTTTAGCAAAAAGATAAAGTATGTTTTTGATCCTTCGGCTTCAGTCGCAGGGGCGACAGTAGCTCAGTTGGTAGAGCATTGGCCTTAAGGCCAGAAGGTTGTGGGTTCAATTCCCACCTCTACACCTTCTCCACCGACTCCCACTGATGACTGCTGTCGTTGTGTCCTTGGGCAAGACACTTAACCCCACTTTGCCCAAAGCCCCCACTGAAAGATCAAGGCTATGCTCACACTCAGAGAGCAGCCGTCCTCCTGTGGACTCACCACCTGCAGAGGGTCAGTGAGGGGCTGGTGCTATGAGACTTGGGTGGCATCTCTGACTGCCACCCCCCTGACCCAGAAATGGATTAAAGGGTAGAAAATGGATGGATGGATGGATGGCTTCAGTCGCTGTCAATGGTTTCTTATTTTAGTCTAATTAAAACATCGTGAATCAGTAGTTTTTGAGGCAGTTTGAGAAAGAGATAAATCATTCTGTAGCAGCTGTTTAAAGATTATAAAGATAGTGTTTCATTCATGGACAATAATAAGATGCTACTTTATGAAAGTCAACACCTCTGGAACAGTTTTCATAATAACACTTTCTCTATCACAGCACTGCAAATGGAGACGTGCCACGCTTCTGCCAAAACAATTTACAAGTGGTAACTTTTGTTTGTTTGTGGCAATAAAAATGATTCTGATAAATCAGTTTTATACAGCGCTTTTATGGACATCATTATTCATTCTCTCCAAACACGGTGATCATAAACTACTACTGTAGCCACAGCTGCCCTGGGGCACACCCACCACCACCAACCATTCACACACACACCAGACTCATTCTAATGTAGGGGAAGTGTCTTGCCTAAGGACACAACCACAGCTTGGCACTTTACAGCCGCAGCCGCCCCACTGTGGCACCTGTTGTTCCCAGAGGTCTCCCATCTCCGTACGACTCAGGTCCTGTCCTGCTTAGCTTCTAAGGTCTGATGGGATCAGGCTAATGAATAACCCCAAAACATACAGTAATAATTATCATACGTCTTTTTGAATCGAAAATCAGAATTTGAAGGTTAAGTTTAAACATGAAGAATACACACATATATACGTGAAGTATACACACACACTGTATATACATGAAGAGAATACACACATATATACGTGAAGAAAACACACACATATACGTGAAGAATACACACACACTGTATATACATGAAGAGAATACACACACATATACGTGAAGAATACACACATATACACGTGAAGAATACACACATATACACGTGAAGAATACACACATATACACGTGAAGAATACACACACATATACGTGAAGAATACACACACACTGTATATACATGAAGAGAATACACACATATATTTCATTTCATTTATTTATTTATTTAATATGGACATAGCAATTAACATTGGACGAACCAGATGCATTGTTTAAAGTGTTATAGCACAAGTGCTAATTTTCAACACCTGTCCATAGGGGGCTTTTAGGTTACAAAGATAAAACACATTAGGAAACAAGGTTACAATAAAACACATTATTAAACAAGATAAGACATGTTTTAAACATGGGAACAAGTTTGGCCCGATTTGAGCCACTGTTTAAGCTCTCTGGTAAAGATGTTGATATTATTCTGCAGTTTCAGTGCAGTGGGGAGAGAGTTCCACAGTGTAGCCCCTCTAAAGGAGAAGCTCGACTGTCCAAAAGATTTTCTAAACTTTGGGAGCACACAATCCCCGCTAACTGAGGCTCTGGTGGAAGGTCTGAGAGAGCCCTGACACCTCACCATGAGGCCAGAGAACAGTGGTGACACACAGTTGTTCAGACATTTAAAAGTCAATTTCATTATACTAAAATTTACAAAGTTTTCAAAAGTAAAAAGCTTGTGCTTTTGTATGATATCACAATGATGCCATCTCAAAGGTTTCTTGTCGAATATCTTAATTGCCTGTTTATACAGAGAGGTGACTGGTTTCAGAGTGGATGCCGATGTTTGTGACCATGCTGTAATGCAGTATGACAGATGTGAAAAAACCATTGCATGCATATACAATAAAGCCGCGTGATGTGATAACTCTCTTCTTATAAAACGAAAACAGTTCAGATTTGATTTGACTTTCCTGCAGACGTTATTTGCTTGACTTTGGAACTTCAGGTGTTTATCTAAGATAATGCCCAAGTATTTTGTTTCATGAACCTCCTGAATGGGTTCATGTTCTAATTGAACCTCAAAGGTGCTGTCAGGGGACCTCCGGCTGATAGAGAAACATATTGAGAATGTTTTCTTTACATTTAAAGTTAAATGTGACAGTTGAAGCCATCTTGAGATGTTATGTGAAGCCTGTGTTAACAGCTGCCCAGCCAGTGCAGATGTTTTTGCTGACACATAAATAACTGTGTCGTCAGCATAAAGCTGGCAGTTTACACCCTGACAGCAATCTGGGAGATCATTTATATACATTGAAAACAGCAACGGTCCTAGGACTGACCCTTGAGGCACTCCTAAGTCATTTGGACTCAGGGTGGATTTAACGCTTCCTACTTTCACACATTGTTCTCTACCCTCCAGGTAGGACTCAAACCATGACAGAGCTGTAGCTGAAAATTGAAATTGCTGTAATTTCTGCAATAAGATGCAATGGTCCACTGTGTCAAAGGCCTTCTTCAGATCTAAAAACACAGCGCCTACAACATTCCCTTTATCCAGTGAACCTTTGATCTGTTCCAACAAAAAGCAGTTGGCTGTTTCTGTGCTGTATTTTTGTCTGAACCCAAACTGCTGGGGATGCAACAGTTGGTTATTATCAAGATGTTCTATTAATTGCCCAGCTACAATTTTTTCCAGCACTTTGGAAACTACAGGAAGAATGGAAATAGGCCTGTAGTTGCAGGCTTGGTCTTTGTCGCCTGACTTATAAATTGGAGTGATTACAGCAATCTTCCAGCTCTGTGGGAAAGTGTTTGTTTGTATTGACAAGTTTACAAGGTAAGTTATAGGATCAAGTAAGCTGCTTAGATGTTTTTTAATTAGAGCTACATTGAGATTATGTATGTCTCTTGATGTAGAATTTTTCATATTGACTATAATTTTCCTTACTTCATCATGCAAAACTTATCTGATTTTAAAATGATCTGTACTGCTACGCTGAGCTTTGCTCTCAGAAGGCAATTTGCCCTTGAATGGTTTGGCAAGATCGTGGACTGATTCAACAAAGAATTTGTTGAACTCGTTTGCAATTGACTGATTGTCATTAACATAATTATCATAAATTTTAAGGCAATCTGTCATTTGAAGATTTTTCCGATTAGAATTTGTCAATCTGTTTATATGTTGCCATAGTTTGGAGCTGCTTCCATTTGCTTCTTCTGTAATTTTTATAAAATATTTAGTTTTAGCTTTGCGCAGCTCACTTGTGACTTTATTCCTGAGGCCAGTGAAAATGAGATGGTCGGTATTATTCCTAGATTTGAAGAACTTTTTGAGTGCAAGGTCACGATTTTTCGCCATTCGCCAAATGTCACTATTGAACCACGGAAGAGAATACCTTCTTGGTTTACTTGTCCAGCTTTGTGTGTGTTTATTTATTACATCATTTAATTTAGTGACAAAATTGGATGCACTCAAATTTAAATCAGACTCAGCAGTAACACTGTTCCAATTAATTTGGTTTAACTCATTTTCAAAATCATTTATTTTTGCTTTGGGAATTCTTGTTGTTTTCATTTTGTTCTCTGCTTTGTTATGATTAATGAGACGCTTTTTAGTTAACTTTCTGACAACTAATGTCATATTATGATCGGTAAGCCCTGTTATCAGGTTATATGTTTTAGTTATTCTTTCTGGTCTATTTACAAAAATCAAGTCAATCAATGTTTCGCTGTGTCTGGTGATTCTAGTAGGTTTGTTTATCATTTGCTTTATTTTTGAATTTATCCATCAAAGATTTCAGCTTTGTTCTGCTTTTTTTCTCCTGCCAATTAATATTGAAATCACCCATAATTATACATTCAGTACATTTATCAACATTCAATAGGAGACTCTTAAAATCATCATAGAAAGTGGCTCCATGTGAGGGTGGATTGTAGATAACGATTAATTTAAATGTCATTGTTGTAGACAGAATTACATTTAGCCACAGGCATTCCAGTTTCACATCAATGTAAACTTTCTCACATTTAAATATTTCTTTAATGTATAATAGCACACCCCCACCCCGTCCTTGGTCCCTGTCTCTCCTGTAACACTTGTAACCAGGTATGTTGATCAGGTTTGTTGGAGTGGATGAATTCAGCCAACTCTCAGTCACACATAGGTAATCCAAGTTAGAGTCAGTTAATAGTCTATTAATTTGATCTATTTTTGGTAGAATACTCCTTATATTAATGTGTCCTCCTAACATCCCCTTTGGTTTTGTTTGGGGATTCCAAATAATCTGGGCATGATTTACAGTTTGGAAGATCTTCAGCTCTTTCTGCTTGAGCGCTGCGCGATTTGGATTTTTGGTCCTTATGAGTTGCCGTCGTTGTTTCCATTCTGCATCTATTGTAATGTATGCGCCTTGTAGATCAAAACTTACCGCCCTGTGCAATTCCGAGCTACAGACGCCGTTGTTTTGTGATTCTGTTGCTGGTACTGGATGGCACACTCCGAAGCTCCGCTCTTCGTTGGAGTTAGGGCCCCGTATCTGCTGCGGTTCCAGCATGGCAGTGTTCGCAACTGCTTCGTCCAGCCCGCAGATGGATGTACTCAGATGTCCAGATGCCCCAGCGGATTCAGCAACAGCAACAGGAAAAAACACGTCTACTGCAGTGTCCACTTGCGAGACGTGATGACCCGTCTCACCCACATTGGTCAAAACGACGTCGCTATGTGAGTTGATCTTATCTTGCAGAGGCAGAGAATATTTGTGATACACATGTTTTATTGTTAGTCAGAAAGAGTGTATTTATTGTCTCATTAACTCCCGGAATCGAATCGTTAGCTTGGTGCTGTTGTTCCAAGGTGTGTTTGAGTTCATCATCTTTATGTAGAGGCCCGGGATTTAGGTGTACATCTCCCGACAGAAGTAGCATCAACAGTAGAGTTTTCATTACTCTTGGAGGAGCGTTCTTTTGCTTGCTCATGCAGTTGCGTTGGTTTGGTCTTTTGGCTGCCTGTACTTCATTTGCAGCAGAGGTGTGGGAGAAGATGGTAGCATAGCCAAATCCAAAAAAATTTAGTTTGGCTTTCTCACCCAAAATGCCAAGTGGATCTTGATCAGCGGCAGCACGGTTGTTCGTATTTTCACCCGCTTTAGTTGGTACATCGCAGATGAACAGTACAGGCATAAGCGCCAGGGCGCAACAGGTAGCAAAAGCTGCAACGTGGTAGTTGTCATGCTCGTGTTTGCGGTTTCTCTTTTGTTTGAGAAAGCATTTGAAAATATCATACAAAGCTTTGTGCCACAACTTTAAAATACCAATTGTAAGCTGGTAGGGGACTGTAAAAGCGGCAATATGTGCCGATTTGTGCTCGTGAGTGGAGCCTCCCAAACCACTCATATACGTGAAGTATACACACACATATACGTGAAGAATACACACACATATACGTAAAGAATACACACACATATACGTGAAGAATACACACACATATACGTGAAGAATACACACACATATACGTGAAGAATACACACACATATACGTGAAGAATACACACACATATACGTGAAGAATATACACACATATACGTGAAGAATACACACATATACGTGAAGAATACACACACATATACGTGAAGAATACCCACACATATACGTGAAGAATACATACACATATACGTGAAGAATACACACACATATACGTGAAGAATTCACACACATATACGTGAAGAATTCACACATATACGTGAAGAATACACACATATACGTGAAGAATACACACATATACGTGAAGAATACACACATATACGTGAAGAATACACACATATACGTGAAGAATACACACATATACGTGAAGAATACACACACATATACGTGAAGAATACACACACATATACGTGAAGAATACACACACATATACGTGAAGAATACACACATATACGTGAAGAATACACACATATACGTGAAGAATACACACATACTGTATATACGTGAAGAGAATACACACATAAACGTGAAGAGAATACACACATAGACGTGAAGAATACGCACATATACGTGAAGAATACGCACATATATACGCGAAGAATACGCACATATATACGCGAAGAATACAATACGCACACATATACGTGAAGAGAATACACACACATATACGTGAAGAATACACACACATATACGTGAAGAATACACACATATACGTGAAGAATACACACATATACGTGAAGAATACACACATATACGTGAAGAATACACACATATACGTGAAGAATACACACATACTGTATATACGTGAAGAGAATACACACATATACGTGAAGAGAATACACACATATACGTGAAGAGAATACACACATATACGTGAAGAGAATACGCACATATATACGCGAAGAATACGCACATATATACGCGAAGAATACGCACATATATATGCGAAGAATACAATACGCACACATATACGTGAAGAGAATACACACATATACGTGAAGAGAATACACACACATATACATGAAGAGAATACACACACATATACATGAAGAGAATACACACACATATACATGAAGAGAATACACACACATATACATGAAGAGAATACACACACATATACATGAAGAGAATACACACACATATACATGAAGAGAATACACACACATATACATGAAGAGAATACACACACATATACATGAAGAGAATACACATATATATACATGAAGAGAATACACACATATATACATGAAGAATACACATATATATATTAGAGACTGATAAAGAATACACATATATACATTAGAGACTGATAAAGAATACACATATATACATTAGAGACTGATAAAACATAAATAAAGCATCTTTATTTTAAGACCACGCAGCTTCAGGAAGATCAAAAGTCATTCACTGTGAACCGACTCGAGAAAATAAACTGTGTCAGTGGTCGGTGTCTAAATATAAATATATAGATAATATATAAATAAATATGTAGGTTAAACTGTAGCGTGTGGTGAAGTCGGGAGATTAAAGCCGTGACAGATGTCTGAAGTCTGGGCACAAGAGGAATGTGTGATGACCTTCACGTCAGGGACGTGCAGTCAGGGGAGGCAGGGGAGGCAGAGCCTCACCTGCCATTATTGGAAACTAATAATTATTTTAGTTTAAATATATAATTTATATCCACTGTCCTATGCTTTTAATGTATATTCGGCACGGTTCCCATCAGTTTTGATCATTTCTGAAGTCAAAATCGCCGAAATCCCGTTATTCCTATTCAAAGAGACGAGGTGAGGCAGCGCTCCTGCGTGCCTCACCCCAGACCGCTCCCTCACAGTGTGTGTGTGTGTGTCTGAGTGCACTCAGCTCGTGCAGTTGATATATCACTGTTTGTTTCAAATATCCTGCTTTAAAAACATTTTTTAAACTCCTCTTAGTGTTTAGTAGTGTATTGCACGTATGTGTGTACAATTTATATTTAGTTTAAGTCTTTTGATCGTAGATGAACACACAAGGAAAAAGCTTGGCGTGAGGCAGGCGGTATCTGTGCCTCACCGCTAGGGGTGATAGTGAGCATAAAGTTCATACCAGAGTTGCTAACAAACAATCAGCCCAAAATGCTATTTCTTTTGCTGGAAAATGGATGATTTGAATGAAGATTTTTTTTCTCAATTGGACTTTCAAACAAAGAAAGAATTAATATAGACTGGGAGACCACCACTGGACTTACGAGGTTAGTCCGGCTGCGGGGGAGGAGTTTGTTAATCTGTGTTTTATGTTGAACATTGACAGATACCGGCAAAGTAGTGCTTTTCCGAAAAACACTGATTCAAACACTGCTCAAGAGTTCTGCAACTTGTTTAAATTATTGTTTATGTTCCTCGCGTCTCTCTCTCCTCGCGTCTCTCTCTGCTCCTCGCGTCTCCGTCTCTCTGCTCCTCTCCGTCTCTCTCTGCTCCTCGCGTCGCCGTCTCTCTGCTCCTCTCTGTCTCTCTCTGCTCCTCTCTCCTCGCGTCTCTCTCTCCTCGCGTCTCTCTCTCCTCGCGTCTCCGTCTCTCTCTCCTCGCGTCTCTCTCTCCTCGCGTCTCCGTCTCTCTCTCTCCTCGCGTCTCCGTCTCTCTCTGCTCCTCGCGTCTCCGTCTCTCTGCTCCTCTCTGTCTCTCTCTGCTCCTCGCGTCTCCGTCTCTCTGCTCCTCTCTGTCTCTCTCTGCTCCTCTCTCCTCGCGTCTCTCTCTCCTCGCGTCTCTCGCACCTGCGCTTCTTAAAGATGTTGTTTGATGCGGAGCAGAGTCAGCAGCTAGATTTGTTGTGAGATTATTAAAAGAAGCTGGTTCTCTTATCTTTACAGTATATAAAGTTTGTGGATGTCATTGCATTGGTGATTAAATGCTATTTTATTTGAATAATGATTGTAAATCTGACTTTTAAAGTCAGTGCCTCCCCAATCACAAACCTCACCGCACGTCCCTGCTTCACGTTCCTTCGACTGGTATGTAAACACAACTGATACCACATCAGCCGGAGGGACGGGGCATCGGCCGGAGGGACGGACGGGACATCGGCCGGAGGGACGGAGCATCGGCCGGAGGGACGGGACATCAGCCAGAGGGACGGAGCATCAGCCGGAGGGACGGGGCATCAGCCGGAGGGACGGGGTATCAGCCGGAGGGACGGGGCATCAGCCGGAGGGACGGGGCATCAGCCGGAGGGACGGGGCATCAGCCGGAGGGACGGGGCATCAGCCGGAGGGACGGGACATCAGCCGGAGGGACGGGACATCAGCCGGAGGGACGGGACATCAGCCGGAGGGACGGGACATCAGCCGGAGGGACGGGGCATCAGCCGGAGGGACGGGGCATCAGCCGGAGGGACGGGGCATCAGCCGGGAGGGACGGGGGGACATCAGCCGGAGGGACGGGCATCAGCCGGAGGGACGGGACATCAGCCGGAGGGACGGGACATCAGCCGGAGGGACGGGACATCAGCCGGAGGGACGGGACATCAGCCGGAGGGACGGGACATCAGCCGGAGGGATGTGCCAGAACATCCTGGACCTGTGATTGGACGGATTCTTCCTGTATAATAACTATTTCATTCTGTAACTTCTTTGTTCGTGCTCGTCGACCATCGACAATCGACAATAAAACATGTCTTCTGTCTATTTATTTATTTATTTATTACTGGGACAGTGCATATTAATGAACATTTCTGTAAATATGCCAGAATTAGCCAAACAGCTATTTTTCATCCGTAGTCCCAGTCTGAAAGACTCAATCTCAGAAGATTGTTTTTCTCTTCATAACGGAGTAAAAAATCTCTAACTTTAGCAAAATAAAGAAGTGGATCATCCAAACCAGGGGCCCCCAATTAAATAGGCACAAGGTCCACTTACTTGATCAGTTCAATAGATCAGGGTCTGGACATCATACAAATATTTGATTTCATAGAAATCCATTCAAGAAATTATTGGAAAACCTTAAACAACAAACATTACAGTACTATGAAACTATTTGGAAAAAAAAATCTAAACATGTGTGTATAATTCAATTAATTAATAATAATTCAACATTAATCTACTGTTTATTTCTACACCACAAACCTCCCCCAAACTCAGAGCAGAGGCTGCAGCACATGAGCCTTTCTGTTCAACTGCTTCTTTCTATCAAAGTATGTTTCTGTCATCGCCTCCTCACGCTCTGACCTCCTCCTTCTCCTCCTCACACTCTGACCTCCTCCTTCTCCTCCTCACACTCTGACCTCCTCCTTCTCCTCCTCACGCTCTGACCTCCTCCTTCGCCTCCTCACACTCTGACCTCCTCCTTCTCACACTCTGACCTCCTCCTTCTCCTCCTCACACTCTGACCTCCTCCTTCTCCTCCTCACGCTCTGACCTCCTCCTTCTCCTTCTCACGCTCTGACCTCCTCCTTCTCCTCCTCACGCTCTGACCTCCTCCTCCTCCTCCTCACGCTCTGACCTCCTCCACCTCCACACACTCTGACCTCCTCCTCCTCCTCACACTCTGACCTCCTCCTCCTCACACTCCAACCTCCTCCTCCTCCACCTCCACACACTCTGACCTCCTCCTCCTCCTCCTCACACTCTGACCTCCTCCTCCTCCACCTCCACACACTCTGACCTCCTCCTTCTCCTCCTCACACTCTGACCTCCTCCTTCTCCTCCTCACACTCTGACCTCCTCCTTCGCCTCCTCACACTCTGACCTCCTCCTTCTCCTCCTCACGCTCTGACCTCCTCCTTCTCCTCCTCCTCCTCACACTCTGACCTCCTCCTTCGCCTCCTCCACACACTCTGACCTCCTCCTTCTCCTCCTCACACTCTGACCTCCTCCTTCTCCTCCTCACACTCTGACCTCCTCCTTCTCCTCACGCTCTGACCTCCTCCTTCTCCTCCTCCTCCTCACACTCTGACCTCCTTCGCCTCCTCCACACACTCTGACCTCCTCCTTCTCCTCACACTCTGACCTCCTCCTTCTCCTCCTCACACTCTGACCTCCTCCTTCTCCTCACACTCTGACCTCCTCCTTCGCCTCCTCCACACACTCTGACCTCCTCCTTCTCCTCCTCACGCTCTGACCTCCTCCTTCTCCTCCTCACGCTCTGACCTCTTCCTTCTCCTCCTCACGCTCTGACCTCCTCCTTCTCCTCCTCACGCTCTGACCTCCTCCTTCTCCTCCTCCTCCTCACACTCTGACCTCCTCCTTCGCCTCCTCCACACACTCTGACCTCCTCCTTCTCCTCCTCACACTCTGACCTCCTCCTTCGCCTCCTCCACACACTCTGACCTCCTCCTTCTCCTCCTCACACTCCGACCTCCTCCTTCTCCTCCTCACGCTCTGACCTCCTCCTTCTCCTCCTCAAACTCTGACCTCCTCCTTCTCCTTTCGCCTCCTCCACACACTCTGACCTCCTCCTTCTCCTCCTCACGCTCTGACCTCCTCCTTCTCCTCCTCACGCTCTGACCTCCTCCTTCTCCTCCTCCTCCTCACACTCTGACCTCCTCCTTCGCCTCCTCCACACACTCTGACCTCCTCCTTCTCCTCCTCACACTCTGACCTCCTCCTTCTCCACCTCACGCTCTGACCTCCTCCTTCTCCTCCTCACGCTCTGACCTCCTCCTTCTCCTCCTCCTCCTCACACTCTGACCTCCTCCTTCGCCTCCTCACGCTCTGACCTCCTACTTCTCCTCCTCACGCTCTGACCTCCTCCTTCGCCTCCTCACGCTCTGACCTCCTTCTCCTCCTCACGCTCTGACCTCCTCCTTCTCCTCCTAACGCTCTGACCTCCTCCTTCTCCTCCTCCTCCTCACACTCTGACCTCCTCCTTCTCCTCCTCACGCTCTGACCTCCTCCTTCTCCTCCTCACGCTCTGACCTCCTCCTTCTCCTCCTCCTCCTCACACTCTGACCTCCTCCTTCGCCTCCTCCTTCTCCTCACACTCTGACCTCCTCCTTCTCCTCCTCACGCTCTGACCTCCTCCTTCTCCTCCTCACACTCTGACCTCCTCCTTCGCCTCCTCACGCTCTGACCTCCTACTTCTCCTCACGCTCTGACCTCCTCCTTCGCCTCCTCACGCTCTGACCTCCTCCTTCTCCTCCTCACGCTCTGACCTCCTCCTTCTCCTCCTAACGCTCTGACCTCCTCCTTCTCTCCTCCTCACACTCTGACCTCCTCCTTCTCCTCCTCACACTCTGACCTCCTCCTCCTCACACTCTGACCTCCTCCTCCTCACACTCTGACCTCCTCCTTCGCCTCCTCACACTCTGACCTCCTCCTTCGCCTCCTCACACTCTGACCTCCTCCTTCGCCTCCTCACACTCTGACCTCCTCCTTCGCCTCCTCACACTCTGACCTCCTCCTTCTCCTCCGCACACTCTGACCTCCTCCTTCTCCTCCACACTCTGACCTCCTCCTCCTCCTCCACACACTCTGACCTCCTCCTTCGCCTCCTCACGCTCTGACCTCCTCCTTCTCCTCCTCACGCTCTGACCTCCTCCTTCTCCTCCTAACGCTCTGACCTCCTCCTTCTCCTCCTCCTCACACTCTGACCTCCTCCTTCTCCTCCTCACACTCTGACCTCCTCCTCCTCCTCCTCCTCACACTCTGACCTCCTCCTCCTCACACTCTGACCTCCTCCTCCTCCTCCGCACACTCTGACCTCCTCCTCCTCCTCCGCACACTCTGACCTCCTCCTCCTCCTCCACGAACTCTGACCTCCTCCTCCTCCTCCACACACTCTGACCTCCTCCTCCTCCTCCACACACTCTGACCTCCTCCTCCTCCTCCACACACTCTGACCTCCTCCTCCTCCTCCTCACACTCTGACCTCCTCCTCCACACACTCTGACCTCCTCCTCCTCCTCCTCACACTCTGACCTCCTCCTTCGCCTCCTCACACTCTAACATCCTCCTTCTCCTCCGCACACTCTGACCTCCTCCTTCTCCTCCGCACACTCTGACCTCTCCTTCTCCTCCACACTCTGACCTCCTCCTCCTCCTCCACACACTCTGACCTCCTCCTCCTCCTCCACACACTCTGACCTCCTCCTCCTCCTCCACACACTCTGACCTCCTCCTCCTCCTCCACACACTCTGACCTCCTCCTCCACACACTCTGACATCCTCCTTCTCCTCCACACACTCTGACCTCCTCCTTCTCCTCCACACACTCTGACCTCCTCCTCCTCCACACACTCTGACCTCCTCCTCCTCCTCCACACACTCTGACCTCCACCTCCACAGACTCTGACCTCCTCCTCCTCCTCCTCACACTGACCTCCTCCACCTCCTCTTCCTCACACTCTGACCTCCTCCACCTCCTCCTCCTCACACTCTGACCTCCTCCACACACTCTGACCTCCTCCTCCTCATACTCTGACCTCCTCCACCTCCTCTCCTCACACTCTGACCTCCTCCTCCACACACTCTGACCTCCTCCTCCTCACACTCTGACCTCCTCCACCTCCTCCTCCACACACTCTGACCTCCTCCTCCTCCTCACACTCTGACCTCCTCCACCTCCTCCTCCTCATACTCTGACCTCCTCCACCTCCTCCTCCTCACACTCTGACCTCCTCCACCCTCCTCCTCCACACACTCTGACCTCCTCCACCTCCCTCCTCCACACACTCTGACCTCCTCCTCCTCTCCACACACTCTGACCTCCTCCTTCTCCTCCACACACTCTGACCTCCTCCTCCTCCTCACACTCTGACCTCCTCCTCCTCCACACACTCTGACCTCCTCCTCCACACACTCTGACCTCCTCCTCCACACACTCTGACCTCCTCCTCCACACACTCTGACCTCCTCCTCCACACACTCTGACCTCCTCCGCACACTCTGACCTCCTCCTCCTCCTCCACACACTCTGACCTCCTCCTCCTCCACACACTCTGACCTCCTCCTCCACACACTCTGACCTCCTCCTCCTCCTCCTCCACACACTCTGACCTCCTCCTCCACACACTCTGACCTCCTCCTCCTCCTCCTCACACTCTGACCTCCTCCTCCTCAAACTCTGACCTCCTCCACCTCCTCCACTCTGACCTCCTCCTCCCCCTCACACTCTGACCTCCTCCTCCTCCTCCACACACTCTGACCTCCTCCTTCTCCTCCACACACTCTGACCTCCTCCTCCTCCTCACACTCTGACCTCCTCCTCCTCCTCCACACACTCTGACCTCCTCCTCCTCCTCCGCACACTCTGACCTCCTCCTCCTCCTCGCACACTCTGACCTCCTCCTCCTCCGCACACTCTGACCTCCTCCTCCACACACTCTGACCTCCTCCTCCTCCACACACTCTGACCTCCTCCTCCTCCTCCTCACACTCTGACCTCCTCCTCCTCACACTCTGACCTCCTCCACCTCCTCCACTCTGACCTCCTCCTCCTCCACACACTCTGACCTCCTCCTCCCCTCACACTCTGACCTCCTCCTCCTCCTCCACACACTCTGACCTCCTCCTTCTCCTCCACACACTCTGACCTCCTCCTCCACACACTCTGACCTCCTCCTCCACACACTCTGACCTCCTCCTCCACACACTCTGACCTCCTCCTCCGCACACTCTGACCTCCTCCTCCTCCTCCACACACTCTGACCTCCTCCTCCTCCTCCACACACTCTGACCTCCTCCTCCACACACTCTGACCTCCTCCTCCTCCTCCTCCACACACTCTGACCTCCTCCTCCACACACTCTGACCTCCTCCTCCTCCTCCTCACACTCTGACCTCCTCTCCTCAAACTCTGACCTCCTCCACCTCCTCCACTCTGACCTCCTCCTCCCCTCACACTCTGACCCTCCTCCTCCTCCACACACTCTGACCTCCTCCTCCTCCACACACTCTGACCTCCTCCTCCTCCTCCACACACTCTGACCTCCTCCTCCTCCTCCGCACACTCTGACCTCCTCCTCCTCCTCCGCACACTCTGACCTCCTCCTCCTCCTCCTCCTCCTCCGCACACTCTGACCTCCTCCTCCGCACACTCTGACCTCCTCCTCCACACACTCTGACCTCCTCCTCCTCCTCCTCACACTCTGACCTCCTCCTCCTCACACTCTGACCTCCTCCACCTCCTCCACTCTGACCTCCTCCTCCTCCACACACTCTGACCTCCTCCTCCCCCTCACACTCTGACCTCCTCCTCCTCCTCCACACACTCTGACCTCCTCCTTCTCCTCCACACACTCTGACCTCCTCCTCCTCCTCACACTCTGACCTCCTCCTCCTCACACTCTGACCTCCTCCTCCACACACTCTGACCTCCTCCTCCACACACTCTGACCTCCTCCTCCACACACTCTGACCTCCTCCTCCTCCTCCACACACTCTAACCTCCTCCGCACACTCTGACCTCCTCCTCCTCCTCCGCACACTCTGACCTCCTCCTCCACACACTCTGACCTCCTCCTCCTCCTCCACACACTCTGACCTCCTCCTCCTCCTCCTCACACTCTGACCTCCTCCTCCTCACACTCTGACCTCCTCCACCTCCTCCACTCTGACCTCCTCCTCCTCCACACACTCTGACCTCCTCCTCCCCCTCACACTCTGACCTCCTCCTCCTCCTCCACACACTCTGACCTCCTCCTTCTCCTCCACACACTCTGACCTCCTCCTCCACACACTCTGACCTCCTCCTCCTCCTCCTCACACTCTGACCTCCTCCTCCTCACACTCTGACCTCCTCCACCTCCTCCACTCTGACCTCCTCCTCCCCACACACTCTGACCTCCTCCTCCCCCTCACACTCTGACCTCCTCCTCCTCCTCCTCACACACTCTGACCTCCTCCTCCTCACACTCTGACCTCCTCCTCCACACTTGACCTCCTCCACACACTCTGACCTCCTCCTCCACACCTCTGCCTCCTCACACTCTGACCTCCTCCTCCTCCTCCACACACTCTGACATCCTCCTCCTCCTCCACACACTCTGACCTCCTCCTCCTCACACACTCTGACCTCCTCCTCCACACACTTGACCTCCTCCTCCTCCACACACTCTGACCTCCTCCTCCTCCTCCTCACTCTGACCTCCTCCTCCACACACTCTGACCTCTCCTCCTCACACTCTGACCTCCTCCTCCTCACACTCTGACCTCCTCCACCTCCTCCACTCTGACCTCCTCCTCCTCCACACACTCTGACCTCCTCCTCCCCTCACACTCTGACCTCCTCCTCCTCCTCCTCACACTCTGACCTCCTCCTCCTCACACTCTGACCTCCTCTCCTCCACACACTCTGACCTCCTCCTCCACACACTCTGACCTCCTCCTCCACACACTCTGACCTCCTCCTCCTCCTCCACACACTCTGACCTCCTCCTCCTCCTCCACACACTCTGACCTCCTCCTCTCCTCCACACACTCTGACATCCTCCTCCTCCTCCACACACTCTGACCTCCTCCTCCACACACTCTGACCTCCTCCTCCTCCTCCACACACTCTGACCTCCTCCTCCACACACTCTGACCTCCTCCTCCACACACTCTGACCTCCTCCTCCTCCTCCACACACTCTGACCTCCTCCTCCCACACACTCTGACCTCCTCCTCCACACACTCTGACCTCCTCCTCCTCCTCCACACACTCTGACCTCCTCCTCCTCCTCCACACACTCTGACCTCCTCCTCCTCCTCCACACACTCTGACATCCTCCTCCTCCTCCACACACTCTGACCTCCTCCTCCACACACTCTGACCTCCTCCTCCTCCTCCACACACTCTGACCTCCTCCTCCTCCTCCTCACTCTGACCTCCTCCTCCACACACTCTGACCTCCTCCTCCTCACACTCTGACCTCCTCCTCCTCACACTCTGACCTCCTCCACCTCCTCCACTCTGACCTCCTCCTCCTCCACACACTCTGACCTCCTCCTCCCCCTCACACTCTGACCTCCTCCTCCTCCTCCTCACACTCTGACCTCCTCCTCCTCACACTCTGACCTCCTCCTCCACACACTCTGACCTCCTCCTCCACACACTCTGACCTCCTCCTCCACACACTCTGACCTCCTCCTCCTCCTCCACACACTCTGACCTCCTCCTCCTCCTCCACACACTCTGACCTCCTCCTCCTCCTCCACACACTCTGACATCCTCCTCCTCCTCCACACACTCTGACCTCCTCCTCCACACACTCTGACCTCCTCCTCCTCCTCCACACACTCTGACCTCCTCCTCCTCCTCCTCACACTCTGACCTCCTCCTCCACACACTCTGACCTCCTCCTCCTCACACTCTGACCTCCTCCTCCTCACACTCTGACCTCCTCCACCTCCTCCACTCTGACCTCCTCCTCCTCCACACACTCTGACCTCCTCCTCCCCCTCACACTCTGACCTCCTCCACCTCCTCCTCCACACACTCTGACCTCCTCCACCTCCACACACTCTGACCACAACAAGGATTTTTATGCCCAAAAACTGCACTCGCATTAGCACTGTCTACTGTGAGCACTAAAGTAGGGCATACGCAGTTTGTTAAGGCCATTTTGATGTGTACCTCTGTCTCACTCCTCCTCCTCACACACCTGTGTGCTCCTCTGTCTCGCTCCTCCTCCTCCTCGCTGAGACGCAGCCAGTGTGAGAAGCCGAACGCGAGCGTCCATCGCTCCATACAGCGCTCATTCCCAGTCTCTGACTCCCACTCGTATTCAGACGATTCAGACACCGCTAAAGTTATTTTGATAGCTCCGTGGAAGGACCCATTCCCCACATAGCCGCCCTCGCTCCTGCCCGTTTATAAATCGCTTTGTTTCTGCCCTTTAGACATTTCACTGACCACATGAGAATCCACCCTAATTACAGATGTTTATTTATTGTCTAATCTTTAAATCAGCCTTAAACATGTGAGGAGGATGTTTGTTTTAGCGTGTGGTAGTGAGAGCTTCCTCTGAACCTATAAACTATGTTCACCGACACATGCTAAAGCAGATACTAAAGCAAATGCTAAAGCAAATGCTAAAGCAGATGCTAAAGCAGATGCTAACCTGCTTCAGAACATTCAGATAACATACAAACAGGGAAATGTGATGACGCTAGCTCTGTGATGCTAGCTCTGTGATGCTACCCCCGTGTCCCTTGGGTTTGCTAACAGCTTTGGTTTGCCCGCTTCCTTCCTCTGGCTCTAAATACAGACTGTTACAGATATCCAAGCATTAACTTTAAGATGGAGATGTTGAAGCTAAAAAGAGTTAAATTAATTTATACTTCATGATTATTATAGATTAAAAATCTAAACAGGAATAGTTCTAAGACATGTAAGACTAGAGAATCATCTGTTTAAGCTCCAATAAGTGCAACTGTTCGAAGAAGACACATAAATGAAAATACGAGTGAACTATTTATGGGAATGATAAACTTTGAGAATGCATCGTATTCTACTGTAGATGAACTGTTTAACTCTGTCACCTCTAGTGTTTTGAATGTTCTGGATACCGTTGCCCCTGTGAAAGTTAAAATAGTGAAAAATAAGCAGAAGGCGCCGTGGGCTAAAGCAGACTCGGTCAGGGCACAAAAGAGAAAGTGCCGGAGGGCCGAGCGGAAGTGGCGCAAGTCCAACCTCCAGGTTGATTACAAGATCTTCAAAGATAAGTTGTGCGAGTTTAACCGGGTGCTACGTAGTACGAGAGAAAGGTATTTTTCTGAAATGATTGAAGGCTGCAGCAACAATCTGCGTGTTCTGTTCTCAACAGTTAATAGATTAACAAACCCCCCTGTTCAGATGCCATTAGAGCTTACTTCCAAACGTAAATGCAATGAGTTTGCAAATTTTTCAATGACAAGGTTCAAGGCATCAAAAACGCCATTGTCTCCAATCCACAGATAACCATCCAACAGCCAGAAAGGCTCTCTGAGCTAACTCACTTTGCACCTGTAAATGATCAAACTGTCCAAGAGATAATCTCCAGTTTGAGCTCCTCCACATGCAGCTTGGATGTACTACCCACTAGATTTCTGAAGTCTGTTCTGAGCACTGTCTGTTACCTTCACTCACACAGATAGTAAACATGTCCCTTCATTCTGGAATATTCCCAAAGGCCCTGAAAACTGCAGTCATCAGGCCCCTGCTAAAAAAGAGCAGTCTGGATGCCACTGTACTTAACAACTATCGTCCCATCTCAAATCTGCCATTTATGGGGAAAGTCCTTGAGAAAGTTGTCTACCTACAGCTAAATAGATTTCTTATAATCAACAACTCATTTGATATGTTTCAGTCCGGCTTTAGACAATCAAGCAGGAGCACAACAGACAAGACAGGACAAAGACCGAGGCTAAACTGAGCAGGACTGAGCTGGTCTCCAGGTCCATGGAGTCTGGTGTACTCCTGCTTGGTTAGCGTGAAAACCTGCAGCCTCGGTCTGACCTCCTGTGGCGACTCTGAGCCTGCTGAAGACTCGTTAACGTCACATATATCAAAGCTTTTAGGAAAATGAGGCCCGTGTGGGTCCTGACGCCAAAGCCCTTTGCACAGGCCATAAATCCGCTGGAGCACCTCAGCCCAAATGCATGCTGGGAATGCAGTGACGGCCAGAGCAGGAGGTGTTTATGCTTTAATGCATTGGTCATGATGTCACACAAAAGCATGTGTTATTCTCCAGGTCAGGACCTGCATCACATGGAAACAGCCACACACTGTTTTAGAAACAGCCAGAGTTTAAATCAGATGTTTCTGCTCCAGTCACAGTCTGTTACACCTTTATCTAATCACACTACATACACTCTAAATATTACTATATTGGGGCCAAAATGTGTTGACTGAGGAACCAAAGTCATGGGTTTGGAGAGGACCAGTGGCTTCGCACTGTTTTCCAACTGTTTTTTACATTTGGAGTCATTTCTTTCTGATGCTGAGGGTTGAGGACAGCGATAGTCCAGGACTTTTCAGGACTTTTATGGATATTAGTCCTGCTCCTTATGGACCGCTCCTGTTTGTTATTATCATGAACTATCTGAATTGACATCACTGCTGTAGCTTGAGCAACATTGCGTTAAATGTATGGTATCCTTGTTAGCGGAGCTGGAATCAAAGAAATAGTTAGCCTACATAAGCCTACATTAGCCTACATGTTCTTTAGCACTGATCTGCTCAGCTCCAATGAGACTGAGACAACGTCCTCTGAAAGTTAGAATCTGATGGAGCCAGTTTAATAACGATAACACTGCTGCTGATGCTAGCATCAGCTAATGCTAACAGCTAATGCTAGCATCAGCTAATGCTAACAGCTAAGTTAACTGTTAGCCTCCACTTTATCACTAACAGTAAAACTCAGAGGAACCATAGGGACTGAGGTCTGTAGGACTGTGGTCTGTAGGACTGAGGTCTGTAGGACTGTGGTCTGTAGGACAGTGGTCTGTAGGACTGGTCTGTAGGACTGAGGTCTGTAGGACTGAGGTCAGTAGGACTGAGGTCTGTAGGACTGAGGTCTGTAGGACAGAGGTCTGTAGGACAGAGGTCTGTAGGACTGAGGTCAGTAGGACTGAGGTCTGTAGGACAGTGGTCTGTAGGACTGAGGTCTGTAGGACTGAGGTCTGTAGGACTGAGGTCAGTAGGACTGAGGTCTGTAGGACTGAGGTCTGTAGGACAGAGGTCTGTAGGACAGAGGTCTGTAGGACTGAGGTCAGTAGGACTGAGGTCTGTAGGACTGAGGTCTGTAGGACAGAGGTCTGTAGGACTGAGGTCTGTAGGACTGTGGTCTGTAGGACTGAGGTCTGTAGGACTGAGGTCTGTAGGACTGTGGTCTGTAGGACTGAGGTCTGTAGGACAGAGGTCTGTAGGACAGTGGTCTGTAGGACTGTGGTCTGTAGGACTGAGGTCTGTAGGACAGAGGTCTGTAGGACAGAGGTCTGTAGGACTGAGGTCTGTAGGACTGTGGTCTGTAGGACAGAGGTCTGTAGGACAGAGGTCTGTAGGACTGAGGTCTGTAGGACTGTGGTCTGTAGGACTGTGGTCTGTAGGACTGTGGTCTGTAGGACTGTGGTCTGTAGGACTGTGGTCTGTAGGACAGAGGTCTGTAGGACTGTGGTCTGTAGGACTGAGGTCTGTAGGACTGAGGTCTGTAGGACTGAGGTCTGTAGGACAGTGGTCTGTAGGACAGAGGTCTGTAGGACTGAGGTCTGTAGGACAGTGGTCTGTAGGACTGAGGTCTGTAGGACTGTGGTCTGTAGGACAGAGGTCTGTAGGACTGAGGTCTGTAGGACTGAGGTCTGTAGGACTGTGGTCTGTAGGACTGTGGTCTGTAGGACTGAGGTCTGTAGGACTGAGGTCTGTAGGACTGTGGTCTGTAGGACAGAGGTCTGTAGGACTGTGGTCTGTAGGACTGAGGTCTGTAGGACTGAGGTCTGTAGGACAGAGGTCTGTAGGACTGAGGTCTGTAGGACTGAGGTCTGTAGGACAGTGGTCTGTAGGACTGAGGTCTGTAGGACTGTGGTCTGTAGGACAGAGGTCTGTAGGACTGTGGTCTGTAGGACTGAGGTCTGTAGGACTGAGGTCTGTAGGACTGAGGTCTGTAGGACAGTGGTCTGTAGGACTGTGGTCTGTAGGACAGAGGTCTGTAGGACTGAGGTCAGTAGGACAGAGGTCTGTAGGACTGAGGTCTGTAGGACAGAGGTCTGTAGGACAGAGGTCTGTAGGACTGAGGTCAGTAGGACTGAGGTCAGTAGGACTGTGGTCTGTAGGACTGAGGTCAGTAGGACTGAGGTCAGTAGGACTGAGGTCTGTAGGACTGAGGTCTGTAGGACTGAGGTCTGTAGGACTGAGGTCAGTAGGACAGAGGTCTGTAGGACTGAGGTCAGTAGGACTGAGGTCTGTAGGACTGAGGTCTGTAGGACTGAGGTCAGTAGGACTGAGGTCTGTAGGACAGAGGTCTGTAGGACTGTGGTCTGTAGGACTGAGGTCTGTAGGACTGAGGTCTGTAGGACTGAGGTCTGTAGGACTGAGGTCTGTAGGACTGAGGTCTGTAGGACTGAGGTCAGTAGGACAGAGGTCTGTAGGACAGAGGTCTGTAGGACTGAGGTCAGTAGGACAGAGGTCTGTAGGACAGAGGTCTGTAGGACAGAGGTCAGTAGGACTGAGGTCTGTAGGACTGAGGTCTGTAGGACAGTGGTCTGTAGGACTGAGGTCAGTAGGACTGTGGTCTGTAGGACTGTGGTCTGTAGGACTGAGGTCTGTAGGACAGAGGTCTGTAGGACTGAGGTCAGTAGGACTGAGGTCTGTAGGACAGTGGTCTGTAGGACTGAGGTCAGTAGGACTGTGGTCTGTAGGACTGAGGTCTGTAGGACAGTGGTCTGTAGGACTGAGGTCAGTAGGACTGTGGTCTGTAGGACTGTGGTCTGTAGGACTGAGGTCTGTAGGACAGTGGTCTGTAGGACTGAGGTCTGTAGGACTGAGGTCTGTAGGACTGTGGTCTGTAGGACTGTGGTCTGTAGGACAGAGGTCTGTAGGACAGAGGTCTGTAGGACTGAGGTCTGTAGGACAGAGGTCTGTAGGACTGAGGTCTGTAGGACAGAGGTCTGTAGGACAGTGGTCTGTAGGACTGAGGTCTGTAGGACTGTGGTCTGTAGGACTGGTCTGTAGGACTGAGGTCTGTAGGACAGTGGTCTGTAGGACTGAGGTCTGTAGGACTGAGGTCTGTAGGACTGAGGTCAGTAGGACTGTGGTCTGTAGGACTGTGGTCTGTAGGACTGAGGTCTGTAGGACTGAGGTCTGTAGGACTGGTCTGTAGGACTGAGGTCTGTAGGACTGAGGTCTGTAGGACAGAGGTCTGTAGGACAGAGGTCTGTAGGACTGAGGTCTGTAGGACTGAGGTCTGTAGGACTGAGGTCTGTAGGACAGAGGTCTGTAGGACTGGTCTGTAGGACTGAGGTCTGTAGGACTGTGGTCTGTAGGACAGAGGTCTGTAGGACTGAGGTCTGTAGGACTGTGGTCTGTAGGACTGTGGTCTGTAGGACTGGTCTGTAGGACTGAGGTCTGTAGGACTGAGGTCTGTAGGACAGAGGTCTGTAGGACAGAGGTCTGTAGGACTGTGGTCTGTAGGACTGAGGTCTGTAGGACTGTGGTCTGTAGGACTGTGGTCTGTAGGACTGAGGTCTGTAGGACTGTGGTCTGTAGGACTGTGGTCTGTAGGACTGAGGTCTGTAGGACTGTGGTCTGTAGGACTGGTCTGTAGGACTGAGGTCTGTAGGACTGAGGTCTGTAGAACTGAGGTCTGTAGGACTGAGGTCAGTAGGACTGTGGTCTGTAGGACTGTGGTCTGTAGGACTGAGGTCTGTAGGACTGAGGTCTGTAGGACTGAGGTCTGTAGGACAGAGGTCTGTAGGACTGGTCTGTAGGACTGGTCTGTAGGACTGTGGTCTGTAGGACTGTGGTCTGTAGGACTGAGGTCTGTAGGACTGTGGTCTGTAGGACTGAGGTCTGTAGGACTGAGGTCTGTAGGACAGAGGTCTGTAGGACAGAGGTCTGTAGGACTGTGGTCTGTAGGACTGAGGTCTGTAGGACTGTGGTCTGTAGGACTGAGGTCTGTAGGACTGTGGTCTGTAGGACTGAGGTCTGTAGGACTGTGGTCTGTAGGACTGAGGTCTGTAGGACTGAGGTCTGTAGGACTGAGGTCTGTAGGACTGAGGTCTGTAGGACTGAGGTCTGTAGAACTGAGGTCTGTAGGACTGAGGTCTGTAGGACTGAGGTCTGTAGGACAGAGGTCTGTAGGACAGAGGTCTGTAGGACTGAGGTCTGTAGGACAGAGGTCTGTAGGACAGAGGTCAGTAGGACTGAGGTCTGTAGGACTGAGGTCTGTAGGACAGAGGTCTGTAGGACAGAGGTCAGTAGGACTGAGGTCTGTAGGACAGAGGTCTGTAGGACTGAGGTCTGTAGGACTGAGGTCTGTAGGACTGTGGTCTGTAGGACTGTGGTCTGTAGGACAGTGGTCTGTAGGACTGAGGTCTGTAGGACTGAGGTCTGTAGGACAGAGGTCTGTAGGACTGAGGTCTGTAGGACAGAGGTCTGTAGGACAGAGGTCAGTAGGACTGAGGTCTGTAGGACAGAGGTCTGTAGGACTGAGGTCTGTAGGACAGAGGTCTGTAGGACTGAGGTCTGTAGGACTGAGGTCTGTAGGACAGTGGTCTGTAGGACTGAGGTCTGTAGGACTGATTAACTCGTCCTGGATCTTAAAGCGCCATCAGCTCCAGTGAGACAGAGGACAGTGAGACAGAGTGAGACAGAGAGACACAGAGGACAGTGAGACAGTGAGAGACAGAAGACAGTGAGACAGAGAGAGACAGTGAGACAGAGGACAGTGAGACAGAGGACAGTGAGACAGAGAGACACAGAGGACAGTGAGACAGAGACACCGAGGACAGTGAGACAGATTGAGACAGAGACACAGAGGACAGTGAGACAGAGTGAGACAGAGACACAGAGGACAGTGAGACAGAGACACAGAGGACAGTGAGACAGATTGAGACAGAGACACAGAGGACAGTGAGACAGAGTGAGACAGAGACACAGAGGACAGTGAGACAGAGACAGAGACACAGAGGACAGTGAGACAGAGTGAGACAGAGACACAGAGGACAGTGAGACAGAGACAGAGACACAGAGGACAGTGAGACAGAGTGAGACAGAGGACAGTGAGACAGAGACAGAGACACAGAGGACAGTGAGACAGAGACACAGAGGACAGTGAGACAGAGACACAGAGGACAGTGAGACAGAGTGAGACAGAGACACAGAGGACAGTGAGACAGAGTGAGACAGAGACACAGAGGACAGTGAGACAGAGACACAGAGGACAGTGAGACAGAGACACAGAGACACAGAGGACAGTGAGCCAGAGACACAGAGGACAGTGAGACAGATTGAGACAGACACAGGACAGTGAGACAGAGACACAGAGGACAGTGAGACAGAGACACAGAGGACAGTGAGACAGAGTGAGACAGAGACACAGAGGACAGTGAGACAGAGTGAAACAGAGACACAGAGGACAGTGAGACAGAGTGAGGCAGAGACACAGAGGGCAGTGAGACAGAGTGAGACAGAGACACAGAGGACAGTGAGAGTGAGACAGAGACACAGAGGACAGTGAGACAGAGTGAGACAGAGACACAGAGGACAGTGAGACAGAGACACAGAGGACAGTGAGAGAGTGAGACAGAGACACAGAGGACAGTGAGACAGTGAGACAGAGGACAGTGAGACAGAGACACAGAGGCCAGTGAGACAGAGACACAGAGGACAGTGAGACAGAGTGAGACAGTGAGACAGAGGACAGTGAGACAGAGTGAGACAGAGACACAGAGGACAGTGAGAGAGTGAGACAGAGACACAGAGGTCAGTGAGACAGAGACACAGAGGACAGTGAGACAGAGACACAGAGGACAGTGAGACAGAGACACAGAGGACAGTGAGACTGAGACACAGAGGACAGTGAGACAGAGTGAGACAGAGACACAGAGGACAGTGAGACAGAGACACAGAGGACAGTGAGACAGAGACACAGAGGACAGTGAGACAGAGTGAGAGACACAGAGGACAGTGAGACAGAGACACATAGGACAGTGAGACAGAGACACAGAGGACAGTGAGACAGAGTGAGACAGAGACACAGAGGACAGTGAGACAGAGACACAGAGGACAGTGAGACAGAGACACAGAGGACAGTGAGAGAGTGAGACAGAGACACAGAGGACAGTGAGACAGAGTGAGACAGTGAGACAGAGGACAGTGAGACAGAGACACAGAGGACAGTGAGACAGAGTGAGACAGAGACACAGAGGACAGTGAGACAGAGTGAGACAGTGAGACAGAGGACAGTGAGACAGAGGACAGTGAGACAGAGACACAGAGGACAGTGAGACAGAGACACAGAGGACAGTGAGAGAGTGAGACAGAGACACAGAGGTCAGTGAGACAGAGACACAGAGGACAGTGAGACAGAGACACAGAGGACAGTGAGACAGAGTGAGACAGAGACACAGAGGACAGTGAGACAGAGTGAGACAGTGAGACAGAGGACAGTGAGACAGAGTGAGACAGTGAGACAGAGGACAGTGAGACAGAGTGAGACAGTGAGACAGAGGACAGTGAGACAGATGACAGTGAGACAGAGTAAGACAGTAAATGTAGATCCGTTACTCTCCTCTTCTTCCTCCTGGAGGCAGAGCACTTCCCCCAATCAACAGTCTTTGATCTTCCTCATAAACACCAGAATAAAAATAGTTCCTCGTTTGCATCAGAAACATCCGAGAAACATGAGACTATCACACCTCACTCTGACAAACCTATGTTTATTCTATAAATATATATATATATATATATATATATATATATATATATATATATATATATATTATAAGGGGCAACAGTAGCTCAGTTGGTAGAGCATTGGCCTGAAGGCCAGAAGGTCGTGGGTTCAATTCCCACCTCTGCACCTTCTCCATCGACTCCCACTGATGACTGCTGTCGTTGTGTCCTTGGGCAAGACACTTAACCCCACTTTGCCCAAAGCCCCCACTGAAAGATCAAGGCTATGCTCACACTCAGAGAGCAGCCGTCCTCCTGTGGACTCACCACCTGCAGAGGGTCAGTGAGGGGCTGGTGCTATGAGACTTGGGTGGCATCTCTGACTGCCACCCCCCTGACCCAGAAATGGATTAAACCAGGGGTGCTCAATACGTCGATCGCGATCTACCAGTCGATCGCAAAGGTAGTATTGGTAGATCGCATTAAATAAATAAAAAATTACACATTCTAAACGAATATATACAAAAAACTCCGGGCAAAGTGGAGATTTTTGAAAACTCTGTTAATGCATTTGTGTGTAGACAGAGATAACCGGAGTTTTGCGTTCTCGCATGCCACAGTACCCCCCTAAATTCCTCTGATCACTGAAGCATGGATCATACTACCTTAAAAACTGTTCGCTGTGAGATGCTCGCAGCAGCGAACATCCTCCACATCAGAGAGCAGCAAAGTGATCGCGGGGACTCACGCTCGGAAACAACCAAACCAGGACTAAACCAGGACTAAACCAGGACTAAACCAAGGCTGAGGACGGGGTCAGTGCTTGTAAACATACGTCTTTACTCTGAGTGTCTTCTATGACTGTAAAAGTGCCGTTACCGGCGTCTCCATCAAAGCTCCGCCCACTTCTGTGTTTTTCCCCAACGCAGGACAGGACGTAAGAGACGCACATGTTTGGAATGTTACGAATGTGATTGATAACGCAGATGTGTGGATGCAAATTATTTTATAAACGGAGGAGGGGAAATATTTGGATTTAAAAAAAACAGGCATGGCACATGGACATGGCACCACAGTCAAATGACATCTGTGTTTTACTCAGTAATGTTTTACTGACACTTAGGTGACTGCACATGCGCAAACAACCGCGCTCAGTGCAGGAAAGCTAAACCACGACAAACTTGTCAGCGAGTTGCCACCAATTTTCCGGACTATGCATCCCTGGCCGATTCAATTCACTGCAAGTCATCAGAGTAAACTCGGGTAATGACAAAAAATGTACATAGGTAATTGTGTTGTGTTGTGCTATATTGGCTCATGCGGTTTTGCATGTACATAAACATACATTGTAGATATAAAGAATATTTTTTGAAATATATGATCTGCATTTTTGTAGTAGGTTGATCATTTTGACTTGATCCTTTTATAAGTAGCTCGCATGATGAAAAAGTGTGAGCACCCCTGGATTAAAGGGTAGAAAATGGAAGGATGGATGGCTGATAATATATTACTATATACCTAATATATAATCAGAATCAGAATCATTTTTATTGCCACGTAAGTAACAGGAGGTCACAGACTAGGAAATTGCTTTGGCTCAGTGCAACAGTCAAAAAGAGATAATAAAAATAAGAATAAAAAACACTTCTAAGGAATACATTTAAATTTAAAATAGAGTTACAGTTACTATTTACAATATACAAGTGCACATGGTGCACACAATGTAAGGTGACAGCAGTACAGTGAAGTAAAGTGACGTATGATCAGTGATGGGAATAACGGCGTTACTAGTAACGGCGTTACTAACGCCGTTACTTTTTTCAGTAACGAGTAATCTAACTAATTACTTTGACTGTAACTATAACGCCGTTATCATTTCCGACATCCCGTTACTGCGCGTTACTAAAGACGCACAATGAACTTCTCTTTTTACTTCGTGATAGGACTCGTGCGCGTGTTGTCATGAGAGAAGGGAGGATGAGAAAACCTCTCAGCAATTATTGGCTGATGTAAAACTTATTTCCTTTACAATCCACATGTCTACAGTTGAGAGGATGGTCATAAATTGTGTTTTTGAAACAAATATGGGTCTTAGTCGCGCTCAACCACAGCTTGTATCACCGTGAGGGCTCAGAGGAGCGCATGTGAGCGCAGAAGTCGGCTGCATACAATTCCATCAGAAAGCTCCTTTCTCTTCCTGGTTTATCTGCTAAGGGCTGCAACAAGTTTGGCTAACATACATATAACACATTTTAAGATAATTTAAAATGCACTAACGGTAATTTTTCAATTACTATAGGAATGATAAGAAAGAGAGGTGAAGTGTAAGACGGTTGATTTTAGAAATTGGATGCACCCGGCTGCACCTAGCAAAACAGAGTAGTTTACGGAGGACACACGCGTTTTGTTTTACTTTTTAAAACTCATTTCCAAATGGAGGATTACATATCTACGCTCAAACTATTATCTGGACTTAAACACAGAACTGGTCTGAACTGAAGTGGTCTGTGCAGGTCATTTATAAGGTAAGACCCATAACTCATAGTTTTGCGTTTTGTATGAACAAACAATGCGGCCATGAAACATATTTTGCTGTAGCCAAACAAATTGTCCACTTGATTTAGCTGTTATATGATATATATGTTCATCTGATTGGGCTGAAGTCAGTGCTTCTCCGGTGTTTCCACATTCACAGTGGCGGGTGTTTGTGTTTAGTGCTTACAGCACAGAGAGAGATGGAGAGTGAACAGGACTTCAGCAAAACAGACTTTTCTAGATGGAAATATTGGCAATATTCAAACTCACTGAGGTTAAAGGTAAAAATGCACACGTCGAGTGCACATTATGTTCCAGAACAAAACGAAAAAGTAACGCAATAGTTACTTTTACTGGTAACTAGTTACTTTTATAGTGGAGTAACTCCGTTAGTAACTCAGTTACTTTTTGGGAGAAGTAACTAGTAACTATAACTAATTACTTTTTCAAAGTAACGTGCCCAACACTGCGTATGATGGGCAGTAAAGTGACTTTATAAAGGGCGGGGGGACAGGTTAAGAAGTGTTCAAGAGTCCAACAGCAGAGGGGAAGAAACCGTTCTTGTGGCGGGAGCTTCTAGTCCTGATGGACCGCAGTCTCCTGCCTGAGGGGAGTGGTTGGAATAGTCCATGTGCAGGGTGAGAGGGGAGGGGTTGGAATAGTCCATGTGCAGGTGAGAGGGCCGGAGCCTCAGTTAGCGGGGATTGTGTGCTCCCAAAGTTTAGAAAATCTTTTGGACAGTCGAGCTTCTCCTTTAGAGGGGCTACACTGTGGAACTCTCTCCCCACTGCACTGAAACTGCAGAATAATATCAACATCTTTACCAGAGAGCTTAAACAGTGGCTCAAATCGGGCCAAACTTGTTCCCATGTTTAAAACATGTCTTATCTTGTTTAATAATGTGTTTTATTGTAACCTTGTTTCCTATTGTGTTTTATCTTTGTAACCTAAAAGCCCCCTATGGACAGGTGTTGAAAATTAGCACTTGTGCTATAACACTTTAAACAATGCATCTGGTTCGTCCAATGTTAATTGCTATGTCCATATTAAATAAATAAATAAATGAAATGAAAAATGAAAGGGGAGTGGTTGGAATAGTCCATGTGCAGGGTGAGAGGGGAGTGGTTGGAATAGTCCATGTGCAGGGTGAGAGGGGAGTGGTTGGAATAGTCCATGTGCAGGGTGAGAGGGGAGTGGTTGGAATAGTCCATGTGCAGGTGAGAGGGGTCGGCTGTGATACGACCAGCCCGGCCTCGAGCTCGGGCGACGTACAGGTCCTGCAGCGATGGAAGGCTGCGGCCGATCACTTCCTCTGCAGAGCGCACAATGCGCTGTAGTCTCTGTTTGTCCCTGACTGTGGCTCCAGCGAACCACACGGTGATGGAGGAGGTGATGCAGGAGGTGATGCAGGAGGTGATGCTGGAGGTGATGGAGGAGGTGATGGAGGAGGTGATGGAGGAGGTGATGAAGGAGGTGATGGAGGAGGTGATGGAGGAGGTGATGGAGGAGGTGATGAGGAGGTGATGGAGGAGGTGATGAGGAGGTGATGGAGGAGGTGACGGAGGAGGTGATGAGGAGGTGATGGAGGAGGTGACGGAGGAGGTGATGAGGAGGTGATGGAGGAGGTGATGGAGGAGGTGATGGAGGAGGTGATGAGGAGGTGATGGAGGAGGTGATGGAGGAGGTGATGAGGAGATGATGGAGGAGGTGATGGAGGAGGTGATGGAGGAGGTGATGGAGGAGGTGATGGAGGAGGTGAGGATGGACTCGATGATGGCCGTGTAGAACTGCAGCTTGGCTTTCCTGAGCTGCCGCAGGAAGTATATCCTCTGCTGGGCCTTCTTGATGAGGGAGCTGATGGTCGGCTCCCACTTGAGGTCCTGGGTGATGGTGGTGCCCAGGAAACGGAAGGACTCCACAGAGGTGATGGGGGAGTCCATCACGGAGGGTGGGGGTGGGGGGACAGTGCTCTTTCTGAAGTCCACAATCATCTCCACTGTCTTCTGGGCGTTCAGCTCCAGGTTGTTACCACTGCACCAGGACACCAGCCGGTCCACCTCCCTCCTATAGGCGGACTCATCGTTGTTGGAGATGAGTCCAATGAGGGTGGTGTCGTCCGCGAACTTGATCAGCTTCACAGAGTTGTGGCTGGAGGTGCAGTGGTTGGTGTACAGGGAGAAGAGCAGGGGAGAAAGAACACAGCCCTGTGGGGCTCCTGTATTTATAATCCGAGAGTCCGAGACATTCTTCCCCAGACGCACTCGCTGCTTCCTGTCCGTCAGGAAGTCAGTGATCCACCTGCAGGTGGAATCGGGCACGTTGAGCTGGGAGAGCTTGTCCTGGAGCAGGGATGGCAGGATTGTGTTGAAGGCAGAGCTGAAGTCCACGAACTGGACCCTGGCGTAGGTCCCCAGGGAGTCCAGGTGCTGTAGGATGTGGTGGAGGGCCAGGTTAATGGCGTCGTCTACAGATCTGTTGGCTCTGTAGGCGAACTGCAGGGGGTCCAGGAGGGGGGAGGTGAGGGACTTGAGATGGGAGAGAACCAGGCGTTCAAATGACTTCATGACGACAGACGTAAGTGCTACAGGTCTGTAGTCGTTGAGTCCTGTGATCCTGGGCTTCTTCGGGACGGGGACAATGATGGAGGATTTGAAGCAGGCCGGGACATGGCAGGACTGCAGAGAGGTGTTGAAAATGTCCGTGAACACAGGAGTAAGCTCACTGGCGCAGTGTCTCAGAGTGGCCGGAGACACGTGGTCCGGGCCAGGAGCTTTGCGGGGGTGCAGCCTCAAGAAGAGTTGTTTAATCTCTTTAGAGGCTATTGTCAGGTTGGGGGCAGGGCTGATGGGTGGGTCGTTAGAGTAGTGGGGGGTGGGGGAGGGAGAGGTGTCAGGGGCAGCATCAAAGCGACTGAAAAATAAGTTCAGTTCGTCAGCTAGCTTGTGGTCGTCAGCACAGGGGGGGGCTTTGGGTTTGTATAGTTGGTGATCTCCCGTAGGCCCCTCCAGACAGAAGCAGTATCGTTGTTACCAAACTGCTCCTGTAGTCGTTCTCTGTGCCGGGACTTGGCTGCTTTCAGTTCTTTCCTGAACTGATATTTAGCTGCTTTGTAGCCGCTAGGGGTGCAACGGTTTGAAAAAAATCACGGTTCGGTTCGTACCTCGGTTCAGAGGCCACGGTTCGGTTCATTTTTCGGTTCATTTTTCTAAAAAAAAGTTTTGTCTTTTTAATAAACACAGCTCATGTGGACTCGGCACCTGCTCTGACTGCCCCCCCTGACCTAGAAATGAATTAAGGGGAAGGAAATGGATGGATGGATGGAAGGCATATTCCATCCATCCAATTATGTCTATTTAACATAATTAATGAAAAACAACACAAAGTGCAACATAAGAAGGCACTTTATGAGGATATTTACCCTCATATATTACACCACCTTCCTGATTCTCCCGAGAAGGAGGTCCATTCTGGGCCCAGCCTCATTCACTGCATTTATTTAATTTTTGGCATTATCAGTTGTGACTGGGATATTAGTACTGGGCCTTTGTCTTCCATTCCTCCGCTGCTTGTGTCAGTACCTGCGTTGTCTGACTGTGTGACTGTCGCAGAGGGGGCGTGTCTGCAGCGCCAGACTTTTCATCTCCCAGTCTGCAGTGATGAAGTGAGCGGTTCTGCTCATGGATCTATTATAGGTTCCGCGGGACGTCCAAGCGTCAGTCGTGAGCGCAGCTGAGGATGCGCGGGAGAGTTGACTTTAGCCTGGTCTGACTGTGCGTAAAGGAGCTGCTTAAATGCCGCGACAACAGGTGGTCGTTGAGACGCTTTTTTCACTCATGTCTTTCTTGTGCCACAGTGCTTACACATCGTGACAGTTTTGTCGAATATTAATCATCAGTGTAGTTACAGTGAAGCCAAAATGCTCTCATACTGGGGATTTAAATGACGCAGGGCTTTCAAGCTCCTCCGTTCCTCCGCTCGCAATGACCGCGCTGTGTGTGGACTAAACAACGTGCGCACAACTTTTTTTTCATAAATCAAACCGCGGATCACGTCTGTACCGAACCGAAGACGTTGAACCGAACGGATCACGGATCAGTGATGAACCGTTGCACCTCTAGTAGCCGCTGCGGTCCCCCTCCCTGAAAGCAGACTACTTTGCTTTCCTGAGCGGCCGGAGTTTAGCAGTGAACCAGGGTTTGTCGTTGTTATAGATGACCCTGGTCCTTGTTGGAATGATGCTATCCTCACAGAAGTGAATGTATGACGTCACAGTGTCCGTGTATTCATCCAAGCTATCTGTGGCAGCTCTGAAAAGGTCCCAGTCTGTAGATTCCATGCATGCAGCTCTTCCACAGCTTCATCAGATCACACTTTGGAGCTCCTCACTGCAGGTTTTGAGAGCTTTAGTCTCTGTCTGTAAGCAGGAACCAGATGTATCATGGAGTGATCTGAGAAGCCGAGGGCTGGCTTGGGAACAGCGCGAAAAGCTCCGCGCACAGAGGTGTAGCAGTGATCCAGAGTGTTCTCTCTGGTCGGGCATTTGATAAACTGTCTGTATTTGGGTAATTCCTGGCTCAAGTTTCCCTTATTAAAATCCCCCAGGATAATAATCAGAGAGTCCGGGTATAAACGTTCCATACACAGTACTTGCTCTGCGTCCGCGCATGGCGGTATGTAAACAGAGGCAAGAATGAATGAAACAATTTCGCGCGGGGAGTAATATGGTTTACAATGAATGAAAAGATATTCCAGAGCAGGAGAGCAGTGCTTGGAGATCACTGTCACATGGTTACACCAGTTTGTATTGACGTAGAAACACAGCCCTCCGCCTCTGCTCTTCCCTGAGAGCGCACAATGGCGATCCGTGTGGAACAGCCCAAAGCCCTGCAGCTCCAGAGCACAGTCCGGGATCCGCTCATTTAGCCAGGTCTCAGTGAAGCAGAGGACACAGGATGAAGTCCTTGTTTCTTCTCATGAGCAGGCTGAGTTCGTCTTATTGCCCAGTGAGCGTACGTTGGAGAGAAAAATGCCGGGGAGAGCCGTGCGCGCTCCTCTCCTCCTCAGACGCACGAGCAGGCCTCCACGCTTTCCCCTTTTACGGGCCCACACTTTTTTGGCTAGAACATGGACTAAATCAGCCGCAGATGCCAAGAAAACAAGCAATAGGTCCATGGGAACGGTGGGTCGGATGTTCATAAGTTCCTCACGGGTGTAGGAACAGCCAGATGCGCAGTTAAAAAGTAAAAACAAAAGAAAAAGAGAGCAGCAAAGAGCCATGTCGAACGTACGAGGCGCCATCTTTGGTGGATTCATAATGCCCCTAATTATTTATATATATATATATATATATATAATGCCCCTAATATATATATATATGCTGTATTTATGAATGTGATTTTAATTGTATGTAATTCTAAAAAGCAAATCCAAGCACAAACTGGACACATGACAGAGAGTGGGTCCTGCTTTTTCCTGGATCTGATTTTTCACAAATCACCTAATTTAGGAGAAAAAAACACTACATTTTACAGAAAATGTTGATGATAAATGTTATTGAGACACAGTCGGCAGAAAAAAAATATTGCACATTCAGACATATTGCACATTCACACATATTGCACATTCACACATATTGCACATTGGGACATATTGCACATTCACAAATATTGCACATTCACACATATTGCACATTCACACATATTGCACATTGGAACATATTGCACATTCACAAATATTGCACATTCACACATATTGTACATTGGGACATATTGCACATTCACAAATATTGCACATTCACACATATTGCACATTCACACATATTGTACATTGGGACATATTTCACATTCACACATATTGCTCATTCAGACATATTGCTCATTCAGACATATTGCACATTCAGACATATTGCACATTCGGACATATTGCACATTCGGACATATTGCACATTCAGACATATTGCACATTCGGACATATTGCACATTCGGACATATTGCACATTCACACATATTGTACATTGGGACATATTGCACATTCACACATATTGCACATTCACACATATTGCACATTCACACATATTGCACATTCACACATATTGCACATTGAGACATATTGCACATTCGGACATATTGCACATTCGGACATATTGCACATTCCGCCTGAAAGACTGTGTGGGTGTCAGGGGGACTGCATTGGACTGGTTCAGTTTGTACCTGTCTGGGACGTCCTGCACTGTCAGGCTGGGGGACTCCTCCTCTTCTGCCGTTCCTTTACACTGTGGAGTTCCCCAGGGTTCTATTCTTGGCCCACTCCTCTTCTCTATATACCTCCTCCCACTTGGTGCTATTTTTAGAAAGCATGGCATTGCTTACCACTTTTATGCAGACGACTGCCAGATCTATATGCCCATCTCCAAGAAACAAAAGGGCCCCTGACACCCCTGCTGGACCGCCTTGGTGACGTCAAGGCTTGGTTGGCCCAAAATGTTCTCTGCCTGAATGAGGGGAAAACTGATATTGTTTTGTTTGGGCCCACGGATCCCCTACTGGACCTGGGCACCCTCAGGGATAATGTCCATCCCTTTGCCACCAACCTTGGTGTCACCATGGACAGTGATTTTAACTTTGACAGGCAGATCAGCACAGTCGTGAAATCAGGCTTTTATCACCTTCGTCTTTTATCTAAGGTAAAGCCTTTTTTATCCTTTAAACTTTTTGAACAAGTCGTGCACGCTTTTATTTCTTCACGTCTGGACGACTGTAATGCACTTTACACTGGGATTTCACAGAAGGCACTTTCCCGCTTACAGTTAGTCCAGAACTCCGCGGCACGGCTTTTAACAGGAACCAAAAACCGTGAGCACATTTCACCGGTTTTAGCTTCTTTGCACTGGCTTCCTGTTTATTTTAGAATTGATTTTAAGATTTTATTGTTTGTTTTTAAAGCTTTGAACGGACTGGCCCCTCCTTACATCTCGGACCTCATCCAAATGTATCCCCCGCCCCACGCGCTGAGGTCCGAGGGCCAGCTCCAGCTCGTGGTGCCTAAGACGAGGCTTAAAACCCGGGGACAGGGCCTTCTCTGTGGGGGGACAGGGCCTTCTCTGTGGGGGGACAGGGCCTTCTCTGGGGCTGGACCAAAGCTCTGGAACGCTCTGCCCCCCCACGTCAGAACTGCTCCCTCGTTGGAATGTTTTAAGTCTCGTCTTAAGACGCATTTTTACTCTCTGGCCTTTAACACCACGTGAGTTGTGTGGTCCTATTTTTATCTTTATTTTGTTTTATTTGTTTTATTGTTTTTATTTATTTATTCTTTTTAAATCGGATAACTGGTATTTTATTGTCTTTATCACATGTTTATAGTTTACTGGTATTTTATTGTTTTTATTAAATTTGTATTGATTTTACTTTGCGCATATTTAAATGTGTTGATTTTATCTCTGTGCAGCACTTTGGAAACTTGTTTTATAAAATGTGCTATATAAATAAAGTGGATTGGATTGGATTGGATTCACACATATTGTACATTGGGACATATTGCACATTCACACATATTGTACATTGGGACATATTGCACATTCACACATATTGCACATTCACACATATTGCACATTCACACATTGCACATTCACACACATTGCACATTCACACATATTGCACATTCACACATATTGCACATCCAGACATATTGCACATTCACACATATTGCACATTCACACATATTGCTCATTCACACATATTGCACATTCAGACATATTGCACATTCAGACATATTGCACATTCAGACATATTGCACATTCAGACATATTGCACATTCAGACATATTGCACATTCACACATATTGCACATTCACACATATTGCACATTCACACATATTGCACATCCAGACATATTGCACATTCACACATATTGCACATTCAGACATATTGCACATTCAGACATATTGCACATTCAGACATATTGCACATTCACACATATTGCACATTCACACATATTGCACATCCAGACATATTGCACATTGGAGCTGACAGAAAAATCCAGGGGTTTCATGAAAGACACAGATGAGCTCTGTTTCACATTCAGGAGGAAACCACTGACTCATCATGACCTAGATTAAAAAATACAAAATGGAGGAGAGTCTGAAACATGTGCCAAGGCAGGAGGAGTAGAAAGAGAAGAGGAGAACCACAGGAGGAGGAGGAAAACCACAAGAGGAGGAGGAGAACCACAGGAGGAGGAGGAAAACCACAAGAGGAGAACCACAGGAGGAGAGACAGGAGGAGGAGGAGAGACAGAAGAGGAGAACCACAGGAGGAAGAGGAAAACCACAAGAGGAGAACCACAGGAGGAGAGACAGGAGGAGGAGGAGAGACAGAAGAGGAGAACCACAGGAGGAAGAGGAAAACCACAAGAGGAGAACCACAGGAGGAGACAGGAGGAGGAGGAGAGACAGAGGAGGAGAACCACAGGAGGAGACAGAGAGGAGGAGAAGAACCACAGGAGGAGACAGAGAGGAGGAGGAGAACCACAGGAGGAGACAGAGAGGAGGAGGAGAACCACAGGAGGAGACACGGATAGAGGAGGAGACAGAGAGGAGGAGGAGAACCACAGGAGGAAAGACAGGAGGAGGACAACCACAGGAGACACAGATGGAGGAGGAGAGACAGAGGAGGAGAACCACAGGAGGAGACACAGATGGAGGAGGAGACAGAGAGGAGGAGGAGAACCACAGGAGGAGAGACCGGAGGAGGACAACCACAGGAGACACAGATGGAGGAGGAGAGACAGAGGAGGAGAACCACAGGAGGAGACAGAGAGGAGGAGGAGAACCACAGGAGGAGGAGAGACAGAGGAGGACACACAGTTATAGTATAACCACGGGACATTTGGGTAAATGTAATTTTCTGTTCTTTGTCTCCTGTTTTAAGTTTTTAAACTCTCAGAGTTAACGACTAAATCGATATGGCTTAGTTACAACAGCCTCCAGTTGAACTAAAACAGAAACCTTAGTTGTAGCCCCGAAAAGTATTGTGCCTCTCATGACTGGGCACCTTGGTGACTAGGGGTGGGAACCGGTACCTCACGATACGATACGATACACGATACAAAGCTCACGATAACGATAATATCACAATAACAATATCACGATAACGATTTTATCACGATATGACGATTATTGATATATTGGTCAGAAATATACAATATGCCAATTTATGGCATAAATAAAAGAAAAATGACTATTTCATGATAAATAGAATGGAGATGCGTAATGTAGCCATATATTAAGTATTGATACCAATTCAAAAAAAAAAATCCCAAAAAAATATATATATTTTTTTTTCAAAATCGATATCGATACTTGGCAAATGCGTATCGATAATCGAATCGCGGGAGAAAGTATCGTGATATATCGAAAAATCGATTTATCGTCACACCCCTATTGGTGACCTAACATGACTCAGCACCTTGGAGACCTAACATGACTCAACACCTTGGTAACCTAACATGACTCAACACCTTGGAGACCTAACATGACTCAACACCTTGGTGTGCCAACATAACTCAGCACCTTGGAGAGCTAACATGACTCAACACCTTGGTGAGCTAACATGACTCAGCACCTTGGAGAGCTAACATGACTCAACACCTTGGTGAGCTAACATGACTCTGACCTAACATAACTCAGCACCTTGGTGAGCTAACATGACTCAGCACCTTGGTGAGCTAACATGACTCAGCACCTTGGTGAGCTAACATGACTCAGCACCTTGGTGAGCTAACATGACTCAGCACCTTGGAGAGCTAACATGACTCAGCACCTTGGTGAGCTAACATGACTCAGCACCTTGGAGACCTAACATGACTCAGCACCTTGGAGACCTAACATGACTCAGCACCTTGGAGACCTAACATGACTCAGCATCTTGGTGAGCTAACATGACTCAGCACCTTGGAGACCTAACATGACTCAGCACCTTGGAGACCTAACATGACTCGGCACCTTGGAGACCTAACATGACTCGGCACCTTGGAGACCTAACATGACTCAGCACCTTGGAGAGCTAACATGACTCAGCACCTTGGTGAGCTTACATGACTCAGCACCTTGGAGAGCTAACATGGCTCAGCACCTGGGTGAGCTAACATGACTCAGCACCTTGGTGAGCTAACATGACTCAGTGAAAAAGAGTCTGAGGAACCTTGGAGTCACTTCTGATGAAGGGACGTTCCTAGAACGACCAAACAGCTGATCCGAAACTGAAACTTCCACTTGTGCAACATCTCCAAGCTCAGACACATGGTCTCAGACACGCGGTCTCAGACATATGGTGTCAGACACGCGGTCTCAGACACGCGGTCTCAGACACGCGGTCTCAGACACGCGGTCTCAGACACGCGGTCTCAGACACGCGGCCTCAGACACGCGGCCTCAGACACGCGGCCTCAGACACGCGGCCTCAGACACGCGGCCTCAGACACGCGGCCTCAGACACGCGGCCTCAGACACGCGGCCTCAGACACGCGGCCTCAGACACGCGGCCTCAGACACGCGGCCTCAGACACGCGGCCTCAGACACGCGGCCTCAGACACGCGGCCTCAGACACGCGGCCTCAGACACGCGGTCTCAGACAAGCGGTCTCAGACACGCGGTCTCAGACACACGGCCTCAGACACGCGGTCTCAGACATATGGTGTCAGACACGCGGTCTCAGACACGCGGTCTCAGACACGCGGTCTCAGACATATGGTGTCAGACACGCGGTCTCAGACACACGGCCTCAGACACGCGGTCTCAGACATATGGTGTCAGACACGCGGTCTCAGACACGCGGTCTCAGACACGCGGTCTCAGACATATGGTGTCAGACACGCGGTCTCAGACACGCGGTCTCAGACACGCGGTCTCAGACACGCGGTCTCAGACACGCGGTCTCAGACACGCGGTCTCAGACACGCGGTCTCAGACACGCGGTCTCAGACACGCGGTCTCAGACACACGGCCTCAGACACGCGGTCTCAGACACATGGTCTCAGACACATGGTCTCAGACACATGGTCTTACATGTCTGAGTAAAAAAGATCTGGCTCGTTTACAAGTTATTCACAATTCTGCTGCGACGCTTCTGACCTGCACCTACAGGAGAGCACCCACAGGAGAGCTACCACAGGAGAGCTACCACAGGAGCGCTACCACAGGAGAGCTACCACAGGAGAGCACCCACAGGAGAGCTACCACAGGAGAGCTACCACAGGAGAGCACCCACAGGAGAGCTACCACAGGAAAGCTACCACAGGAGAGCTACCACAGGAGAGCTACCAAAGGAGAGCCCCCACAGGAGAGCACCCACAGGAGAGCTACCACAGGAGAGCACCCACAGGAGAGCTACCAAAGGAGAGCTACCACAGGAAAGCTACCACAGGAGAGCTACCACAGGAGAGCACCCACAGGAGAGCTACCACAGGAGAGCACCCACAGGAGAGCTACCACAGGAGAGCTACCACAAGAGAGCACCCACAGGAGAGCTACCACAGGAGAGCACCCACAGGAGAGCTACCACAGGAGAGCTACCACAGGAGAGCTACCACAGGAGAGCCCCCACAGGAGAGCTACCACAGGAGAGCACCCACAGGAGAGCTACCGCAGGAGAGCTACCGCAGGAGAGCTACCACAGGAGAGCTACCACAGGAGAGCTACCACAGGAGAGCACCCACAGGAGAGCTACCACAGGAGAGTTACCACAGGAGAGCACCCACAGGAGAGCTACCACAGGAGAGCACCCACAGGAGAGCACCCACAGGAGAGCACCCACAGGAGAGCTACCACAGGAGAGCACCCACAGGAGAGCACTCACAGGAGAGCTACCACAGGAGAGCTACCACAGGAGAGCTACCACAGGAGAGCACCCACAGGAGAGCACCCACAGGAGAGCACCCACAGGAGAGCTACCACAGGAGAGCACCTACAGGAGAGCACCCACAGGAGAGCTACCACAGGAGAGCACCTACAGGAGAGCACCCACAGGAAAGCTACCACAGGAGAGCACCCACAGGAGAGCACCCACAGGAGAGCACCCACAGGAGAGCACCCACAGGAGAGCTACCACAGGAGAGCACCCACAGGAGAGCACCCACAGGAGAGCTACCACTGGAGAGCACCCACAGGAGAGCACCCACAGGAGAGCTACCACAGGAGAGCACCCACAGGAGAGCTACCACAGGAGAGCACCCACAGGAGAGCTACCACAGGAGAGCTACCACAGGAGAGCTACCACAGGAGCGCTACCACAGGAGTGCACCCACAGGAGAGCTACCACAGGAGAGCACCCACAGGAGAGCTACCACAGGAGAGCACCCACAGGAGAGCTACCCCAGGAGAGCTACCACAGGAGAGCACCCACAGGAGAGCACCCACAAGAGAGCTACCACAAGAGAGCACCCACAAGAGAGCTACCACAGGAGAGCACCCACAGGAGAGCACCCACAGGAGAGCTACCACAGGAGAGCACCCACAGGAGAGCACCCACAGGAGAGCACCCACAGGAGAGCTACCACAGGAGAGCCTGAGCCTCAGCGCTGAAGCTTCTGAAGCAGAGAGGGAGGTGGCAACACATGATGCTACCAGCTCTACACAGCTACACAACTACACAGCTACACGACTACACGACTACACAACTACACAAGTACACAGCCACTAAACTACACAACCATACAACTACTAAACTACTAAAGTAGAAAACGACAAACTCGCCTGAAGCTGCAAAACCAACTCTAAGATGAAGAGAAAAGACAATGGAGAATAATTTACTCTATATTTGTAATGTAATCCCTAAATACCAAAGTAATCTTCCCAATACTCACAGAGGACTGCGATGTCAACAGGTCATTGCATGTTCTCCCCGTGTCTGTGTAGGTTTCCTCCGGGTGCTCCGGTTTCCCCTACCACTAAAACATGTACCATAGGTCTGTGCCTCCTGCTCTGGCCCCTCCCATCTCTGTGTGGAGTCACAGACTAATGTAACAACTGTAAAGTGCTATATTAGATAAAAATTACTTAACACCATGAAAGATAAAAACCAGGTGAGTCTCAGGATAAAGCAGGTCATGTGACCGCAGTAAAACAGATTAGGATTAGATGATAACGATGAGTGTGAAGCGGGTCAGGAGGACCTGCTGTAAACAGTCAAAGTGAAAGTGAAACCATGAATCAGCAGAAAGTCTCTTCAGGAACAGTCTATAAAACTGTCTGAGGTTCAGGACCTTGAATATCTTTATCTTTAACATGATCTTTAATACCATTATTATCATAGTTTAATACCATTATTATCATAGTTTAATATCATTATTATCATAGTTTAATATCATTATTATCATAGTTTAATATCATTCTTATCATAGTTTAATACCATTATTATCATAGTTTAATATCATTATTATCATAGTTTAATATCATTATTATCATAGTTTAATATCATTATTATCATAGTTTAATATCATTATTATCATAGTTTAATATCATTATCATAGTTTAATATTATTAGCATAGTTTAATATAATTATTATCATAGTTTAATATCATTATTATCATAGTTTAATACCATTATTATCATAGTTTAATACCATTATTATCATAGTTTAATATCATTATTATCATAGTTTAATATTATTATCATAGTTTAATATCATTATTATCATAGTTTAGTATCATTATTATCATAGTTTAGTATCATTATTATCATAGTTTAGTATTAGTTTAATCATTTGTTGTTGTTTGTTTTGTGTTTCTGTGAAGTGTAATGTCTAAGATCTTAATCTTTCTGCTGTGACACAGATTACTGATGCAGTCCACCTGCTGGGTTCAGATTACTGATGCAGTCCACCTGCTGTGACTCAGATTACTGATGCAGTCCACCTGCTGTGACACAGATTACTGATGCAGTCCACCTGCTGGGTTCATATTACTGATGCAGTCCACCTGCTGGGTTCAGATTACTGATGCAGTCCACCTGCTGGGTTCAGATTACTGATGCAGTCCACCTGCTGGGTTCAGATTACTGATGCAGTCCACCTGCTGGGTTCATATTACTGATGCAGTCCACCTGCTGGGTTCAGATTACTGATGCAGTCCACCTGCTGGGTTCAGATTACTGATGCAGTCCACCTGCTGGGTTCAGATTACTGATGCAGTCCACCTGCTGGGTCTAAACCATGTGCTGTCTTTGGACATTTATTAGACATTCCACTTTAACAGAACACTAGGGAGACAGTGGCTCCGTATAGCATTGGCTTTTGAGCCTGAAGGTCGTGGGTTTGAGTCCACTACAAGACTGTCTCCACCGACTCCCACTGTCTGCTGTCGTTGTGTCCTTGGGCAAGACACTTCACCTCTGGGAACAGCAGGTGCCACAGTGGGGCGGCTGTGGCTGTAAAGTGCCAAACTGTGGTTGTGTCCTTAGGCAAGACACTTCCCCCACATTAGAATGAGTCTGGTGTGTGTGTGAATGGTTGGTGGTGGTGGGAGGGGCTTCTGTCAGTGTGCCCCAGGGCAGCTGTGGCTACAGTAGAAGGTTATCACCACCGTGTTTGGAGAGAAAGGATAATGATGTACTGTATAAAACCAATGCATTAAAAATACTATAAATATATATATAAACAGGATAAGACAGGACTCAGGGTCACAGCAGGGGTCAGAGGTCACGTCAGGGGTCCCAGCAGGGTTCAGGGTCACAGCAGAGGTCAGGGTCACAGCAGGGGTCAGGGGTCACAGCAGGGCTCACGGGTCACAGCAGGGGTCACGGGTCACAGCAGGGGTCACGGGTCACAGCAGGGGTCAGGGTCACAGCAGAGGTCAGGGTCACAGCAGGGGTCAGGGGTCACAGCAGGGCTCATGGGTCACTGCAGGGGTCAGGGGTCATAGCAGGGGTCAGGGTCACAGCAGGGGTCACAGCAGGGGTCAGGGGTCACAGCAGGGCTCATGGGTCACTGCAGGGCTCATGGGTCACTGCAGGGCTCATGGGTCACTGCAGGGGTCAGGGGTCACTGCAGGGGTCAGGGGTCCTCTCAGTGCGCCCTCAGCAGCGGCCATGTTGGACTTATCCACTATTACAATACAATACAATACAATACAATACAATACAATACAATACAATACAATACAATAGAATGTATTCTCGTATGGTCTCGTAGGTCACAACAGAAGTCATCTCAGAGACTTAACAAAACCATTGAAATCACCAACACAGGTCAGAGAATCAACAGTTAAAACACATGAAGAATATAAAGCACACACAGAAGAAAATGTCCATACATGTTGTAGAATGCTAAAGTGTCCTGATCATCACCAATCCTTTCTGGTATTATTGATCTGTTTGACTCACACCAGGGACCAGGAGGAGACACCAGGAGGAGACACAGCTCTGAAGGACCAGGAGGAGACACCAGGAGGAGACACAGCTCTGAGGGACCAGGAGGAGACACACCTCTGAGGGACCAGGAGGAGACACCAGGAGGAGACACAGCTCTGAGACACCAGGAGGAGACACAGCTCTGAGCGACCAGGAGGAGACACCAGGAGGAGACACAGCTCTGAGGGACCAGGAGGAGACACCAGGAGGAGACACAGCTCTGAGGGACCAGGAGGAGACACAGCTCTGAGGGACCAGGACGAGACACGGCTTTGAGGGACCAGGACGAGACACAGCTCTGAGGGACCAGGAGGAGACACAGCTCTGAGGGACCAGAAAGAGACACAGCTCTGAGGGACCAGGAGAAGACACCAGCAGGAGACACAGCTCTGAGGGACCAGGACGAGACACAGCTCTGAGGGACCAGGACGAGACACAGCTCTGAGGGACCAGGACGAGACACGGCTCTGAGGGACCAGGACGAGACACGGCTCTGAGGGACCAGGAGGAGACACAGCTCTGAGGGACCAGGACGAGACACGGCTCTGAGGGACCAGGACGAGACACGGCTCTGAGGGACCAGGACGAGACACGGCTTTGAGGGACCAGGACGAGACACGGCTCTGAGGGACCAGGAGGAGACACAGCTCTGAGGGACCAGAAAGAGACACAGCTCTGAGGGACCAGGAGAAGACACCAGCAGGAGACACAGCTCTGAGGGACCAGAAAGAGACACAGCTCTGAGGGACCAGGAGAAGACACCAGCAGGAGACACAGCTCTGAGGGACCAGGACGAGACACGGCTCTGAGGGACCAGGAGGAGACACAGCTCTGAGGGACCAGAAAGAGACACAGCTCTGAGGGACCAGGAGAAGACACCAGCAGGAGACACAGCTCTGAGGGACCAGAAAGAGACACAGCTCTGAGGGACCAGGAGAAGACACCAGCAGGAGACACAGCTCTGAGGGACCAGGACGAGACACAGCTCTGAGGGACCAGGACGAGACACGGCTCTGAGGGACCAGGACGAGACATGGCTCTGAGGGACCAGGACGAGACACGGCTCTGAGGGACCAGGACGAGACACGGCTCTGAGGGACCAGGACGAGACACGGCTCTGAGGGACCAGGACGAGACACGGCTCTGAGGGACCAGGAGGAGACACAGCTCTGAGGGACCAGGACGAGACACGGCTCTGAGGGACCAGGACGAGACACGGCTCTGAGGGACCAGCAGGAGACACAGCTCTGAGGGACCAGGACAAGACACGGCTCTGAGGGATCAGGACGAGACACGGCTCTGAGGGACCAGAAGGAGGCACAGCTCTGAGGGACCAGGAGAAGACACCAGCAGGAGACACAGCTCTGAGGGACCAGGACGAGACACGGCTCTGAGGGACCAGGACGAGACACAGCTCTGAGGGACCAGGACGAGACACGGCTCTGAGGGACCAGGAGGAGACACAGCTCTGAGGGACCAGGACGAGACACGGCTCTGAGGGACCAGGACGAGACACGGCTCTGAGGGACCAGGAGGAGACACAGCTCTGAGGGACCAGGACGAGACACGGCTCTGAGGGACCAGGACGAGACACGGCTCTGAGGGACCAGGAGGAGACACAGCTCTGAGGGACCAGGACGAGACACGGCTCTGAGGGACCAGGACGAGACACGGCTCTGAGGGACCAGGAGGAGACACAGCTCTGAGGGACCAGGACAAGACACGGCTCTGAGGGATCAGGACGAGACACGGCTCTGAGGGACCAGAAGGAGGCACGGCTCTGAGGGACCAAAAGGAGGCACGGCTTTGAGGGACCAGGAGGAGACAAACACGTCCTGTTTTCAAAGACTACAATGCACAATGTCCTCGGTTTCAAAAACTCAGGAAGCGTCCTGTAAATATCAGTGTTGTCCCTGTGCTCCTTAGAGTCCCAGCAGGAGACCAGTCCCTGTGCTCCTCAGAGTCCCAGCAGGAGTCCAGTCCCTGTGTTCTTCAGTCCCAGTATGTGTTCACTGTGACTTTATATAACAGCAGTATGTGTTCACGGAGGTGACTTTATATAACAGCAGTATGTGTTCACGGTGACTTTATATAACAGCAGTGTGTGTTCACGGAGGTGACTTTATATAACAGCAGTATGTGTTCACGGTGACTTTATATAACAGCAGTATGTGTTCACAGAGGTGACTTTATATAACAGCAGTATGTGTTCACGCAGGTGACTTTATATAACAGCAGTATGTGTTCACGGAGGTGACTTTATATAACAGCAGTATGTGTTCACGGAGGTGACTTTATATAACAGCAGTATGTGTTCACGCAGGTGACTTTATATAACAGCAGTATGTGTTCACGGTGACTTTATATAACAGCAGTATGTGTTCACGGAGGTGACTTTATATAACAGCAGTATGTGTTCACGGAGGTGACTTTATATAACAGCAGTATGTGTTCACTGTGACTTTATATAACAGCAGTATGTGTTCACGGAGGTGACTTTATATAACAGCAGTATGTGTTCACTGTGACTTTATATAACAGCAGTATGTGTTCACTGTGACTTTATATAACAGCAGTATGTGTTCACGGAGGTGACTTTATATAACAGCAGTATGTGTTCACTGTGACTTTATATAACAGCAGTATGTGTTCACTGTGACTTTATATAACAGCAGTATGTGTTCACGGAGGTGACTTTATATAACAGCATACGTGTTCACGGAGCAGTGTGTGTGCGCCATAAGTTTATTTTATTATTAAACGGTACTTCTGCATCGGCAAACACACTAAGCTGCGCTAGTTTTGTCACTTCTAGACCCTGAATGAGAACTCAGGCTGGCATACTGTATGTTCATAAGTACTTTGTCTCCCATTGTCAATCCTGGTGTAGCTCCTGTTTTGGCTGTATTTTGTATTTTTGAGTATTTTCAGCCTCCACACTAGACCGCTAATGTCCCCATGACCACTTTGCAGCTCTCTGACCCGAGAGAGAGAGAGACGTGGAAAACAAACAAGCATGCAAATGGAACTTATCACGCCCAGAAAAATTGAGCAAATATTAATTATCATGCGATTAATTTGTTGTTTCATAAATAATACATGTTTGTGTCCCACAGAGAGGTCCATGACTGATCCACTCTCTGTGAAGGTTCTGCAGGAGTCAGACTGTACGATGAACACTGACCTCACATGTTATGCATCTGTACAATAATGTTAGGATGTGCAGTAATGTTAGAATGTGCAATATATAACGTAGCTTTACATGCTAACATTTACATTAGCATCACATGCTAACATGTACATTAGCATCACATGCTAACATGTACATTAGCATCACATGCTAACATGTACAATAGCATCACATGCTAACATGTACATTAGCATCACATGCTAACATGTACAGTAGCATCACATGCTAACATGTACAGTAGCATCACATGCTAACATGTACAATAGCATCACACGCTAACATGTACAGTAGCATCACATGCTAACATGTACAATAGCATCACATGCTAACATGTACATTAGCGTCACATGCTAATATGTACAGTAGCATCACATGCTAACATGTACTGTAGAATCACATGCTAACATGTGCTGTAGAATCACATGCTAACATGTACAGTAGTGTCACATGCTAACATGTTCAGTAGCATCACATGCTAACATGTACAGTAGCATCACATGCTAATACATACAGTAGCATCGCATGTGAACACGTACAGTAGCATCACATGCTAACATGTACTGTAGCATCACATGCTAACATGTACAGTAGCATCGCATGCTAACATTTACAGTAGCATCACATGCTGACATGTACAGTAGCATCATCACCTGCAGGTGGATCACTGACTTCCTGACGGACAGGAAGCAGCGAGTGCGTCTGGGGAAGAATGTCTCGGACTCTCGGATTATAAATACAGGAGCCCCACAGGGCTGTGTTCTTTCTCCCCTGCTCTTCTCCCTGTACACCAACCACTGCACCTCCAGCCACGACTCCGTGAAGCTGATCAAGTTCGCGGACGACACCACCCTCATTGGACTCATCTCCAACAACGATGAGTCCGCCTACAGGAGGGAGGTGGACCGGCTGGTGTCCTGGTGTCTCCTACAGGAGGGAGGTGGACCGGCTGGTGTCCTGGTGTCTCCTACAGGAGGGAGGTGGACCGGCTGGTGTCCTGGTGTCTCCTACAGGAGGGAGGTGGACCGGCTGGTGTCCTGGTGTCTCCTACAGGAGGGAGGTGGACCGGCTGGTGTCCTGGTGTCTCCTACAGGAGGAGGTGGACCGGCTGGTGTCCTGGTGTCTCCTACAGGACGGAGGTGGACCGGCTGGTGTCCTGGTGTCTCCTACAGGAGGGAGGTGGACCGGCTGGTGTCCTGGTGTCTCCTACAGGAGGGAGGTGGACCGGCTGGTGTCCTGGTGTCTCCTACAGGAGGGAGGTGGACCGGCTGGTGTCCTGGTGTCTCCTACAGGAGGGAGGTGGACCGGCTGGTGTCCTGGTGCAGTGGTAACAACCTGGAGCTGAAGGCCCAGAAGACAGTGGAGATGATTGTGGACTTCAGGAAGAGCACTGTCCCCCCACCCCCACCCTCCGTGATGGACTCCCCCATCACCTCTGTGGAGTCCTTCCGTTTCCTGGGCACCACCATCACCCAGGACCTCAAGTGGGAGCCGACCATCAGCTCCCTCATCAAGAAGGCCCAGCAGAGGATGTACTTCCTGCGGCAACTCAGGAAAGCCAAGCTGCAGTTCTACACGGCCATCATCGAGTCCATCCTCACCTCCTCCATCACCTCCTCCATCACCTCCTCCATCACCTCCTCCATCCCCTCCTCCATCACCTCCTCCATCACCTCCTCCATCACCTCCTCCATCACCTCCTCATCACCTCCTCCATCACCTCCTCCGTCACCTCCTCCATCACCTCCTCCATCACCTCCTCCATCACCTCCTCCATCACCTCCTCATCACCTCCTCCATCACCTCCTCCATCACCTCCTCCATCACCTCCTCCATCACCTCCTGCATCACCTCCTCCATCACCTCCAGCATCACCTCCTCCATCACCTCCTCCATCACCTCCTCCATCACCTCCTCCACCACCTCCTCCACCACCTCCTCCTCCATCACCTCCTCCACCACCTCCTCCATCACCTCCTCCCCTCCATCACCTCCTCCACCACCTATCCACCACCTCCTCCATCACCTCCTCCACCACCTCCTCCATCACCTCCTCATCACCTCCTCCACCACCTCCATCACCTCCTCCATCACCTCCTCCATCACCTCCTCCATCACCTCCTCCATCACCTCCTCCATCACCTCCTCCATCACCTCCTCCATCACCTCCTCCATCACCACCTCCATCACCTCCTCCATCACCTCCTCCATCACCTCCTCCATCACCTCCTCCATCACCTCCTCCATCACCTCCTCCATCACAGCCGACCCCTCTCACCCGGCACATGGACTATTCCAACCACTCCCCTCTCACCTGCACATGGACTATTCCAACCCCTCCCCTCTCACCCTGCACATGGACTATTCCAACCACTCCCTTCTCACCTGCACATGGACTATTCCAACCACTCCCCTCTCACCTGCACATGGACTATTCCAACCACTCCCCTCAGGCAGGAGACTGCGGTCCATCAGGACTAGAACCTCCCGCCACAAGAACAGTTTCTTCCCCTCTGCTGTTGGACTCTTGAACACTTCTTAACCTGTCCCCCCGCCCTTTATAAAGTCACTTTACTGCCCATCATACGTCACTTTACTTCACTGTACTGCTGTCACCTTACATTGTGTGCACCATGTGCACTTGGATATTGTAAATCGTAACTGTAACTCTATCTTATATTTAGATTTATTCTTTAAAAGTGTTTTTTATTCTTATTTTTATTATCTCTTTCTGACTGTTGCACTGAGCCAAAGCAATTTCCGAGTCTGTGACTTCCTGTTACTCACGTGGCAATAAAAATGATTCTGATTCTGAGTATTTGAACAAAGCTAATGACTTATAATAACTATATTCATGAATTCGAGAGTATGACAGATTTATAAACATATATTTACAAGAAATAAAGAAATGAATTAAAGAGTAGGTGATTATAGTTAATGCTACACTTAATACTCCTGTGTGCTCCACATTCCTACTGTTCTGTACGTTGTGTTGCAACACTGGAACTTCCTGTGGGACAGACTTTCATCCATAGGTTCTATCATTAAAGTCTGTCCCATTACATTTGTTCAGGTTCTGATCTATAGAAGCTGAGTCTGTATTAAACTCAGATTCTACATTATTATTATGACATCATCAGATTCTACATTATTATTATGACATCATCATTAGGGCTTTGACGTGAGCTGATGGACATGATCAAATGATTCAGATTTAGATTCATTGTATTAGCCATGTGCAGTATAAAAACTACATTGGAATACATTTGCAGAAAGGTACTCTGTGTGCACCGACAGAATAAGAGCACGATACAATGTAATATAAAATACACATACACTGAAAATAAAATAATAATAAAAAAACAGCTGACACTGTGGCACCGATCAACAAAACGATACAAGGGGTAAAAGCAGGAATTAAAGTGCTCTGTTTAGGCACCTAACAGCCTGTGGAAAGAAGCTGTTAGCATAACCAGATGTCCTGCATCTCAGAGAGCGATATCTTCTGCCAGAGGGAAGAAGCTGGAACATGGCTTTCCCAGGGTGGCCAGAAGAGTATTCATGATTTTAAGAGCTTTGTTTAAAAGTCTGGATTTATAAAGAACCTCCAGAACAGGAAGCTCACAGCCCACAATGAAAATGAAAGAAACATCAGAAGTCCACATAACAGTAAAACACAGCCCTAACTCTAACTCTAACTCTGACTCTAACTCTGACTCTAAAGCCTGGTTCACACGGCAGGATATTTAGGCCGATTTAGACCCGATTTACCCCTTACGACAATCTTAAGAAACGCTCCAATTTCCGTAACAAAGTCTTACAGATTATCCTGCCGTGTGTGGTGTGTTAAGACTGCACTCGTCGCTCGGAAGGACATCGGGACTGCTCCCGATCTCAAATCGGGGATATCCAACATGTTGGATTGTTTTGGCCCGATTTCTTGTCGTGTGTGGTGTCCTCCGAGGACAAGCGAGCGCGTTGCCATGACTACGGCGTGTAGCCAATAAGAAGACGAGGTGACAAGCCGGTGAGGAAACACCGGAAAAAAACCAAAACACAGCAGCATGGCTTTGACCATTGCCTTTTCTTTGGATTACGTGTCTTCTCTGTTAACAACAAACTGCACACTATCACCACTGCATCCTCTTCGTCCGCCATGACTGTTTACTCTGAAGTCACGCTTGATCTCGAGAGATTTTGTGAGATTTCCGTCTGACCTGGGAATGCTCGGGGGGGGGTGTCGGTTCGTGTGTGATGTTTGTGGCTTGCGTGATCTTGCCGTGTGGCTACGCACCACACACTGCACGACCAAAGTGGTTAGACGCAGGATTTTTAATCTCCCCGTGTGGGGTCTAACACGGAGAAAAATCGGCCGACAATTTTAAAAGCGTCTCGTGTGAACCAGGCTTAACTCTGACTCAAACTCTGACTCAAACTCTGACTCAAACTCTGACTCAAACTCAGACTCAGACTCAAACTCTGACTCTGACTCTGACTCTGACTCTGACTCTGACTCTGACTCTGACTCTGACTCAGACTCAGACTCAGACTCAGACTCAGACTCAGACTCAAACTCAAACTCTGACTCAAACTCTGACTCTGACTCTGACTCTGACTCTCCATGACTGTAATCCACGCGTGTCAGAAGTGGGACAGGCCTTTTGGCACGTTTCATACTGAGGTTTACGCTCAGGCTGAAGACCTGCAGTGAAGACCTGCAGGCGGTCAAACAGAAGACACAATGTAAACAGCGCCACGGCCTCTCCCCGGCCCCCTTCACCAAACACAAATCCAAACCAATCCAAACCGAACCAAACCAACCCAGGCTGGACAAGTTTTCTTTACGATGTGAACCCATTTGAGCGTTTGACAGAAGCAGCACAGGTCTGTGTGCTGCTCCAGAACCGTTCACTTTGGGTCAAACTGCTCAGAATGCTTCAGGTCTGGACAGTTTCAGGTTCATGATAAACTGAAGGATAAGTTTTAAAAAATACAGGAGACAGTAAGTTTTTTAGACACAACACCAGAGAAACACGCTGCGTGGGACTTGAGGCGAAGCAGAGGAGCGGTGGGACTTTCGGGCTGTGAAGTTTGAGACAAACCTTATTCTGAGGTCGTGGGTTCGATTCCCGCCGGGCTGATCCTGTCTCTTCTTCTCAGAGCCACGCGCGGATTAATCTCAGCGGAAAAGGACAAATCCCGACGCCGTGGAGTCGAAATGTCGGTGACAGTGGTTTTCCTCGGCTCTCTGCGTGTCTTCAGTTGCAGTTTTTTCCAGCTCTGACACGGGAGCGCGCGCGTTGGGATTCGGGGCGGGAGCGCGCGGCGGGGGCGCGCAGGGGGAGCGCGCACCCGCACTCGTTTCACCCCCAGAGCAGTCCATTTGACGGTCTCAGTTCTGTCATGGACATGGATGGGTTCATAACGCTCTGACTTGTCTGTTTTTAACCATTTCTATTATTTCTAAAATGTGAGATTTCTGCTTTTATCTCAACATCATTTTAGTCATTTTCTGTTGCTTGGTAACTAACTCTCTACGGCAGTTGAAGTCCCTGTTCAAGGTCCTGGTCCTGGACTTGTTCTGGTCCAGTTCTAGTCCAGTTTCTGACCAGAGGAGTTGGTGCTGGTTACCATAGCAACGCACTGTTTATAGCCGTTAGCATTTGCACTTTAGCATTAGCCTTTTCTGTTTCTGCTGTTCACCAGTTTTAGAACTGAATAAAGGTAAAAAAAAAAAAATATATATATATATATATATATATATATATATATATATATATATATATATATATATATACAGCTAGATGAGTGGTTACAGCGGATCCCCGGAACAACCTCGGACATCTCGGTCCAGAAATGTGCAGTGCTAGGAACAGCAAAGATACTGCGCAGAACCCTCAAGCTCCCTGGCCTCTGGTAGAGGACCCGAGCTTAGAGAGGGATAACCGCCCGCGGAGGGCCAAAGGTGAGTGGACAATTTTTTTTTTTTTTTATAATTTACTCCCTTTTAATAAATGAGGGGGGGGGGGGATGTCCCAGAATTCAATTGGTTTGAAGGAGGTTATGTGGAGTTAGGGCGAGTTGGAGCCAAACTCTGCACCTGAGCACTTCTACATCGGCCTTCCTTGAGCTAGCGCAGCCATTCCCAAACTCAGTAACACCGAGGCCCCCTTAAAAATCTGACGGGTCTGCGTGGCCCCCCAAAATAATAACCAAGAAGACAACATTAAGAATAGGCTCTTCTGGTTATTTTATTTTGGGGAAATAGCCTCTGCTACAAACATTGTAATACAAAAATGATTACAGTGGATTATTCAAGTCAAATAATGAACACAAATATTTTAATATTACAAACAAAACATTATAAATTTAACATTAAATAATTATATATATATATATATTTTTTTTATGACCTCCCGCGGCCCCCCTGCAGTACCCTCGCGGCCCATCAGGGGGCCGCGGACCCCACTTTGGGAGACACTGAGCTAGCGGGTTTGCATTCAATTCATTGTTTGGCCCTAAATAAAAAAGCAGTTTTCTCCAAAGGACTTTTCAAAGCTGTCGATTCTCCAGCACAGATCAGAGAATCAATCTGTTCATACCCAGGCTCATGCCTCTAGACCAGGGGTCCCCAAACCTTTTCCTGTGAGGGACACATAACTTTTCCCTTCTTCGATGGGGGCCGGGTCAGTTTGTAACAGAAGAAGTTACTAGCTATTAGTTAATAATGAAAAAAGTTCATAACTAAGGAACTTTTTATTGCAAAAGTACAACTTTATTATCAAATACACACATGAGTGTGTTCAAGGTTAAAAGGGTATAACTCTAAAACTAAAATGACTCAATAGATTATTAATAAACATTTCAAACACAGACAGATCAAAGAGATCATGTGGATAAAATCAAAAGGAAAGATTGACAAATATATTTTTGGCGACATTTTAAAACGACAAAATCAGCCTCTGATTGGACCATTCTACTGTGACTCAGTTACAGAGAAAATAAAATGTCCTCAGTCTGAAAAAGCAGCAGATGAACTCCCACAAGATAAACATTAACACAACATCAAAAAATCACTTTATATAAAAAGGAATGGTTAAAAAGAATAAATTAAATGACCCTTGAAAAAGGTGTAACGGACGTGATGGTTTCCGTCCATAAATCTGAAAATAAATCTGGTCGGTTTTCACATTTAATGGGTCGACTATATGAAAGTATCACTTTGTTTCTACTCTGTGTAAAACAATAGAATCTCTGAA